GTGTGTGTGTGTGTGTGTGTGTGTGTGTGTGTGTGTGTATGTGTGTGTGTGTGTGTGTGTGTGTGTGTGTGTGCGTGCGTGCACGTGGGGGCATGCGTGTGTGTGTGTGTGCATATGTGTGTCTATCTGTCTCTGTCGTTCTGCTTGTCGTTGTGCTGTGGTTGTCTAAGATCCACAGAAGATTGTACCAAACCACATGCTGAGGTAACTTCATCCATGAAGCGTTTCATTCTGTGCCAGACTGTGGAAATGTCGTACAACTCTTCTGCATGTTAATAGTCTTTTGCATGTTTGACAAACCTTTCTGGAAGTAGTTGCCCTCGCATCATGCATCTTCACACAGTAACATGCTTGATATAGGGTTCTCATGGACAACATGCCTCTTGTGATCTGTGTCTCTGACCGCACTTTGTAGGTGATCAGAAACCCTCACTGCTAGTGCATACTCACTATTTAGCATTGTTCGCAGATTGCCTGTTCACGCTGGGAAGGCACAGTTGCCTCAACATTGCACCGAAATTCTGTGATGAGCATGCTGTTGTGGTACATGCACTCCAGAATAGTTGGTACTTCTATCCAAGGGTATGCCCAATGCATCATTGGGCGTTTGAGAACTGCTCGCTCTCTGGCGACAAAGAGTATTTTGCATGCTTTTGTGTAGCGGTGTGAGTCATCGGATTGTATCCTTTGTTTGCTATGTGTCATTGCAGCTTCTCTATCATCTCCTACAAAACCTGGCATTCTTGGTCATGGCCGTGCTGATTATGAGACTCAAATTGTTCTGGACGCCACACCTCTGTGTCTTAGCTGGTCTATTGGCGTCACAAACGGTCAGTGGCCGACTGCCTCACTGAATCATCAGGCTTTCCTCTCTTTCCTTGGCACAGTATTACTGTTGTGTAGTGCAATGTGTCGGTCACGGTTGAGCGGGATTTGCTTTGTAGATGCTTTATAGTAGTACAGATGACATCATACTTGAATTATTGTAGTGAAGCGCGTTATGTGTTGTACATGTAATGTATTTGCAGAATATTGTTGCTGAGACCAGACCACCCCGCTTTCTTTGTTATGTTCCGACTACATGTGTCTGTATCCATGCATGTGTGTCTGTCTGTGTGTGTCTGTTTGTGTGTCCGTCTGTCTGCCTATACTTCAAAGTATAATTATAGGTGTGTGCACACAGCACTGTGTGTACTGACTCCACCTCGTGGTGCTGAGCACTCTTCTTTCGGTGGGGAACTTTACTTATACGAGTATTGTGTGTATGTATGTGTGTGTGTGTGTGTGTGTGTGTGTGTGTGTGCGTGTGTGCGTGTGTGTGCGTGCGTGTGTGCGTGTGTGTGCGTGTGTGTTATGTGCCTATGTCTATGATTTGTGTATATGTGTATGCATGCCTGTGTGCTGTGTATATGTGTGTTTGCGTATTCTGTTTCTCGTTTACCGCAGCTGTTCAATCTTGTTCAGCGGCACGTGCGTGTGTTGCTTGTAGCAGTCATCGCCGGTTGCATGGCCTTCCAGGGCTACTCTAACCTACGCAAGCAGTGGGTACGTTCGGTAGCAAGAATGACCCAGGGGTGTGTGTGATCCCTGGTAGCCTAATTTATAGGGCACTGTCCCGGAAAGACAGGGGTGCTAGGTTCGAATCCCGCTCGTGGGTCCTTCTTTTGCAGCAGTTCTACAGGCTGTTGCCCTGATCCGGTACATATACACATCATCATCATCATCATCAACTCTGTGTTGCCACACCTGCCGACATGTCAGTAGCCTGCCGATTTTTGAGGCCTGTAATGACCTGCCGACAATTGACCTTCTCCTGCCGACAACAGCCATGAAAGTATCCAAGTTTGCCCTTGTGCTTGGTTTAGAAGTCATGGTCCAGATTTTTGGCTATTACTGCTCATCACGAGTGTTTCCTTAGCTCTCTCCTAAGGTGCTAAGCGAATCATCAGCTGTCTGGGGAAAATCGGCAAACTCAGCCCGAGTCTCACGCAAAGCCGTGAAAGGTTTCTTAACAGTTCCGCGCGCGTGCGCGCATGTGTGTACATTGGGGTTACTGTGAATGGGGGGGGGGGGGGGGGGTCCGGGGGCTTTGATGCATTTTTATTTTTTTCATCCTACTGATATTTGGCTATAATGATGTGGCAACACTGTCAACTACTCCTAGTACATTCATGTATGTTCCTGTGTATAATGTATGAGTGGTTTGTTGTGTGTTATGCCCCCCTGTGTGTAGGACACCATAGGGGAATTCAATGATCCTCAGCAAGAGCAGCTGGTCGAATGGATCCAAGCTAAAACACCAGCCAGTAAGCTATGGCGCAGTGCTATTGAATCGTATTGATATTGCTTCTGCTACTACTAAACGGTGTTTTCTTTGTCTGCGTGTGTGTGTGGGGGGGGGGGGGGGAGTGTCTGTTGTGTTTGTGTGTTGTGTGTGTGTGTGTGTGTGTGTGTGTGTGGGTGGGTGTTGCTTTGGCGTCACACACACACACACACACACACACACACACACACACGCTGATTGCCATCCGTAAATATAGATATTTATTTAGAAACGAAAACTAGTCGTTTAGGGGGGAGAGGGTTGAGCGCCTGTTCGTTTCTCGAATAATATCGATGTACATTAAGCATGTGTGAGCATGTCCAGAAAAAATACCGAAATATCGATACAGTACTATGTACCATTTGTATGTGTTCGTTTCTCAGGGAGGGGGGGGGGGTTGAAGAGAAACGACTAGCCTTCGTTTCTAAATAAATATCGGTATTTACAGAAGGCCCCTGATCGTGCTTGTACGTGTGTTCATTCATTGCGCATGTTATTTGTGTTTTTCTTGGCATGCTGTTGTTAGCTGCTGTATTTGCCGGTGCAATGCCCATTATGGCTGGGGTGAAGCTGAATGCGTATCGGCCCATCGTCAATCATCCACATTACGAGGATGTCGACGTCAGGTAAGGCATCTGTACCACTGTATCGCGTGTGCGTTTGTATGTGTGTTTGTGTCTGGGTGTGCATGCGTGTATGTATGTGTATACATATTAGATAAACCTTGTATTGTAGAAACACGCTTTTAGTTTGACACGGTGGATGGTTGTAGCAGGGGACACTGTTTCTGAACACGGTGTTCCACCACCTTGTAATATGCTGTCAAACTAAAACAGGTGTATACGTGTACGTGCGTGCTGTACATTTTTGTGCATTCTCGCACGAACTTCTTTGATCCACTTTGTACATGTTTGCTGCTGCTGCTGCTATAGACTACATACGGAGTGCTGTAGGCATGTCACCTATACACGTGTTTGGACAAAACAGGTGCTCTCAAGAGACTTTTGTCGTAGTTTCGGTGCTTCGGAAATCTCGACATAGTGCAACGCCCATTTTTTGTACACTTTGGTATGCACTTTGTACCCACTTGATCAGTGTACACCCAGTCTATTGCACATTAGTGACCAGTGACTAGTCGAGGATGGAATAGTTACTTGTCACTCATTAGCTGTGTACCTGTGTACCTGTGTTGAGAAGACACACAGTTTACAGTTGTGGCTCTGATCTATGTGCGTATTGCATTGCGTGCATTGCTGCAGGAGACGTACGCTGAAAGTCTATCAGATCTACAGCCGCAAGCCGCCGAAAACGGTGGCGAAGACCTTACGAGGCATGGGCGTTGATTACGTCATTGTGGAGAACGGCTGGTGTGTCCGCAACAGCGGGTAAGTGACAGAGACGTGCCTGTGCTGCTGCTGCTGCTGCTGCTGCTGGTTTCAAGGTGTTTTATTGACCGCACAAAGCAATGATGATATGAATGCAAGGAGAGCGAAGAATTCTAACGGTGAACAGCAAAATTGAATAAGAGAAATGTGAATTGCAACAGCAATGTCTATACATACTTTGAAGTATAATAGCTGCTGCTGCTGCTGCTACTGCCATGTTGCTGCCGCCGTGTTGCTCTTTGTCTGTTGGTTAGTGTTGCTCTTTGTCTGTTGGTTAGTTATGCGTGTGGAGTGCTGGTGGTGCCTTTGCAAAGTAGTGTGCATGTACCGTCCGCCGATCTTGGTTCTCTGGTGGCAATGTCTTGTGTTGTCAGTAGCAAGTTACTAGCAACATAGAGATATTATGACTGACACCGGTCCAGTGCACCAGCATTGTTGAGTCATGAGTGGTGTGTGTGTGTGCGTGCGTGTGCATGTAGACTACTGGGTGAAGAAGTGGTGTGATGAGTGCGGAAGCACGGAACCCAGAGCTACAGCATGACACCTTGCTTGTGTTGAAACTATGTGCCTTGCACATACATGTACGCTTGAGTTCACCCACAGTACACTAGACCAGGGGATTCCAAGAACATTGAGGTCAATACTGGCCCACTTGGAAAAATAAGAACATCCTAGGCTGAAGTTAAGGATGTAGTCCAAGGTTCTTGCTACCTCGATGTACGTTTAGACTGGGATGCCCTAATTTCTTCCAGCCCGGACCTTCTTGGGTTCCAGGTCTGCTCTGAGCCCATGGTTTTGTGCATAGTTTTGTGCATCATGGTGTGATACAGTGCAATTAGTCAGTAGTTGAACTACAGTGCTGCTCAACGAAATCCAGTCATCAGAGTCAAGTTGGCGCCGTGCACCTTTTCGCAGCCCAGTGTTCGCAGGTCCAGGGCTGCGCGTACTTGAGAAACTTGACTGGATTTCATTGAGTAGTACTGTAGTTGTTGTGTCAGGATAGCTACTGACACTGACACTGTGTTGCCAGCACAGTCCAAGGACACCTGGTACTGTGTCAGCTTAGCCTGTGGGGTACTGTTAGGGTGTGTGCTAAGATCACCTTGCATATGGTGTTTGTTGTTGTACACGTGTGTTCATGTGTATACTTGCCTGCAGGCCTGGTTGCACTATGGGGGAAATGTGGGACGTGGAGGATCCAGTGCATCGTGATGACCCGCAGTTTTGTGCCACAGTGGCGAGCAGTGTCGTGCCTAAGCCGTTCAAACAAGCCTTCAAGAATGACAACTACCAGGTACTGAAGGTCAGCTAACCACCCTCTCTGCCCTCGCTGAACAGCGCCATGCTTCATGTTTTCTTTTTCTTTTCTAAGCTGTGCAAGGCCACACACGGACGCGCGTGCGCACACAGACACACACACTCACGCGCTGATTGTCAAGAATACGGCATGCAGCACCCGTGTGCTCATCTGCTCTAGTGTTTGTTTTTCCATCAGCTGCTTTTATTAGAGCTCACTACTAGCATTGATAATAACATGAATGCTACTATCATGTTTGGTTGCCCCTACATTTGTGGGAGCGCTCTAGTGTCCTCCGTCTTGCAAGAGCTGTGGCTCAACTTGATGATGGCTATATTTTCTTATAACAAAAAAAACTATTTTCTGAATATTTTCGCTTTGCATGCATGATGGAGGTCGCGAGCAATGTACTCCTAACACCCGATATATTCCCGTCTTCTAGTCTCTCTGCTGCAGATTGCATATTTTCCACGTAAAACGCTCACGCATGTACGCACGTCACTACATAGCCATACATCTCACATCGAGAATACAACACACTCTATTTTCTCAACTGTAGTTATTTTAGGAATGCACTAGTCTGATCAAACTAAGACAATGATAAGAGAAACTAATTCAAGGCTGATTTGTGCCGCTGTCTTCGTGGAAGATACTTCGAAGTAGAATGATTATGTTCATATATCCTTTTTGAAGGATCAAATTTGTCTCTTTGTGTTTTTCGTTTTCGTCGTACATGTACAAACATTCCGTCCAGTCCATATATGGCTTTCCACTGGTGTTCATCAATGACTCTATTGTTGGGTTTCAGCATGACTAGCTCAACAGGTATTGTTGCCTGCAGATTGGTGGTGGTGTGCGTGTGTGGGTGGTGGTGGTGGTGGTGGTGGTGGTGGTGGTGGTAGTGTGTGTGTGTGTGTGTGTGTGTGTGTGTGTGTGTGTGTGTGTGTGTGTGTGTGTGTGTGTGTGTGTGTGTGTGTGTGTGTGTGTGTGTGTGTGTGTGTGTGTGGTGTGTGTATGTGTGTGTGTGTGTGTGTGTGTGTGTGCGTGTATGTGTGTGTTGTGTGCGTGTTGTATGTGTGTTGCACAGTGTAAAAGCACACCTGTGTTTGTTCAATCAATATTCACCAGTAATGTTAGAATCTATCATCTGGTCATTGAGTACATGGACACAGCTATCACTCCTCTCTTCTCTGCACACATCACCACCTATCAGTCCACCACTTTCATCCTACTCTCAGCAAATGTCTTGTGATCAGTCGCGCCACTGCCCACTTTGCTTGTAGTTGTCCGTGTCCGTGAAATGTGATGAACGATGACGATGCTTGCTGTAGTCATGTGCCGTTTCCATTTCCTTCACTTTCTCCCATGTGAGCGCTTGGCTTTCGTCATACCCCTCAGGCGGCTGGAAGTTCAGGGCGTATGTTGTGTTCAAATGGCTGAGGAGCACAATAAAAGACCAAGGCAGACAGTTGTCAGGAGAGGAACTGTTGTACACAGCCCGTTTGTGTAGATTCTCTCGAAGCCAAAGCTGGTACGAGATTGAATCATGTCCGACTTGCATGCAGTGTGAGCAAAGCCGAAAAAAATGTGTGCACGTTCTCACACACGTACATACAACACGCGCGCGTGCGCACATACACGCATACACACACACACACACACACACACACATACCATTGGACCATTGGACGCCCATCGCTGGAGGCGATGATAGCGATGCTACAACAGAAGCCATAGCAGCTTGTGCTGGGATTGCACCATTCAACAGCTTGCAAGGCTGAAGAATTGACCGCCACATACATACACGCACACACACACACACACACACACACACACACACACACACACACACACACACACCGTTGGACCTTTGGATGCCCATTGCTCCGTGCAATGATAGCATCAGGAGTTGCAGTATTTCCTGTGGCGAGTTATATCGTTGGGCCGACGGAAGTCCCTGCCACAGCCGCAAATGAACACTCTAGGCTTTGGCACAGCCGGTCGGGGACGATTGCACATGAGGCGCCAGTCTCGTCTGTCCTGTGCCAAGTCGCACCAGCCACCTGTCACGCACCAAGTACTCAGATCAGCAGCGGCGGTGTCCCTCCAACGTTTCTTGGGACCATGTCTGGGCCTTGTGTTGAGTCCCTCGGCAAACAGAACGCGCTTGGGGAGACGAGAATCCTCTATTCGCCCAAGGTGGCCAAGCCAGCGTAAGCGGTGACAGCGTACGACCTCCGCCATTGACGACGACATACCGAAACGATGGGCTAGTTCCTCAGAAGAAATGCGCGCGCGTACACACACACACACACACACACATATATACACACACACACACACACACACATGTGTGTGTGTGTTACTACTCACTGTCGGTTGTAGCCAGACTTGTGCTGTGGCAGCACGCTGCCGAATCCTTGCTCCGGTGCCTTGGTTGTCCTTTAGGGTTCACGTGCACAGCCGAAACACGTGCACAGCCGAAACACAAGCACAGCCGAACCACAAGCACAGCAGTAAAACACGTGGAACATTACGTCACCTAAGTTCAATTTAGCTGGCACTGCAATGTCACCATACTGTGCGACAGTGCATTCTCGATGGTGCACAAATGTAGGCTGCAAATCCAGCATGGCATGATTATGAACATGATTGTATGTATCAAAACAGTACACTCGTCAATTTTTCATTTCGGACGTGCACGTTGAGACCAGAGCATAACGCGCTGCACGGTCAAGACTCAAAAGCACACGTCTCATAGTAATTATACTGCTCACCGGTCCTAGAATTGTGCTCGGTGGCCGGGTTAGGGGAGGGTTGCGTTAACCTTTGCGTGTGGTTCGAATTCCACTCAAAAGAGTTGTGAGTCATACAGTACTGCCGGTCGCCAAAGAACTGGGGGGGGGGGGGGGGGGGGGGAGGGGGGTCAGCCTCCTAGCCTAGACCGCTATTATTTTCATGTATTACAGTCTATGGGCAGTTGAGTCACCATGTATAGTATTGGCATGCTGTGCTTGATGAAATTCTAGTCTGGCCGTTCTTAGGCGCTACCCGACAGTACTGTGGTGCCTCAGGTGCAGTTGGCGCAATACTGCTGCTTTGCCTCAGACCCGGAGACTGAGTAATGATTGCTGGTACATGCAGTATGCTGCACCAGGTCCACGATAGGACCTACAGTAGTGAACCCCCATTATGTTGAACTGCTTCCAAAAAATGACATTGTGTGCCATCTTCTCCCTTACCTGTCAAAGTTTATTTTGGAGAAGTTCTTCTCGTTGACCATTGGAGGACCGACCTGTCGCTCCGTGTAGTCTGGTAGTAGTTGACGCTCTTGCAAGGATGTCTTGGTTATCGACTCGGGTTTCTCCTACACACATGCACACACACACAGGATCATGCGCGCCGAGAATGAACACACGCCCCAGAAACTGGTTGGACATAGGGTAATACCTGATAACCAGGGAGTAGCACAATGCTTAGTACATGCACCATAACACGCTGGCATGGCTTGAGTCACAGGCATGTAAGAGTACATGTGCATGTGCTGCATTCTCTTGGGTCGTCAGTTGCGGTGATAACGACTGGTTCTTCTATGCACCATACCCACTTGCTACATGTGGCAATGTGCAGTACAGTGTGCTGAAAAGGTGAAACTTGGGCCACGATACACGTTCCTCTCAGAAATACTATGCCGATCCCTTTTATTCTCCGAGCCATGGGTCATTGCACTCATGATTCACAGGACCACCAGAAGCAGTTTTTGATCAGTCCGGTAGTACCATGGCCCTTCATACTTTGTGTATGACATGGCGGAAGCACATGCCCTCCACAGTAGGAAACACGTGTTGGGGACGGAAAAGTTCAAGTGGTCCGGTAATAACCTGACCAACCGGACCGGTTCCGGCGGGTCTGACTCACAATACTCATATTCCTGCTTGGAACATGTTTCGGCTAAAAGGCACAAACAACGAGGTTTTTGAAGTGAGCTTATCACCGAAGGTTGCTCCCGAATTCGCTGGGAATATCTCACTAATGATACATCACAGCCTCCTCCTCCTCGAACCCAGACCACCATGCAGGAGATTTCAACTTCCAACACGCTCCGAGAAGGTTGTGTTTTCATGCCGCATTGGAATTCATTTCAGCAAGGTGATAATCACGCAATGAATGGTGGAATTGACCGAGCTGTGCTTTTCGCTTTAAATTAAGAGTACTTGTACAGTATTATAAACAATCGCCGTGGAGACAAGAACTACTTGAACAGGAACTTTGTAACTCTGGAAGAAACACATTGTACTTCAATTTGCATCCGGTGTTATGATGCCGGTTGAGTGATGGCTGCACCCTTGATATGTCTTAAAGCTATAATACAGTATTCTAAATGACATTTAGAATACTGTATTATAGCTTTAAGTAGGGGTGAAACAATTATACCGAATATTCGAATACTCGTTTGGATTTTTGGAATATAATCGTACTCGGAATAAATCAGAGTACTCGCTCATACATGGTACATACATTTACCACATAAGTCTGCAGTTTCAGAGCAGCAGTCAGCAGATATCAGCAGACAACATTCTACCTGAAGAAACAGCTTACGCCGATGACGTAGACTTCATCTCCACATCAAAATCATTCCTTACCAGCGCCCTACCCGTCATCGCAGGCGTCTTCTCCGAATGGGGTCTTACCGTCAATACCAGTAAGACTGAGTGGATCCGTATTTACCTGGAACCCACTTTGGGAGATGCCACCTCTACAACATCTAGAAAGGTCGGCACAACTCGTGGTAAAGAAGCTTGACGACAGGTGAAGACACTCGGCTTGCTATACGGCTCCGGGGAGGACGTAACACGCCGTATTGGCTTGGCCGCAAGAGCATTTCGAGACACTCTGAAGTTATGGTTCAAACACAACCTGCTTTCTACACCCATCAAAATTCGTTTATACAACACTTTCGTTCTACCAATCTTGACCTACAACCTTGCTTGCCATGGCCTGTCCCGTGCACAAGAAAAGCGCCTAGATGTGTTTCATAGGAAACAGCTGCGGTGTACCCTTGGAATAACCTACCCAGATGTCATCTCGAATGCAGATTTATAATGCTGTTACTGGCCAGTGCTCTGTATCTGAAATGGCCAAGCGGGACAGGTGGAAGCTATTAGGACATATATTACGCCAGCCAAGTGACATCCCTGCAAATGTTGCTCTCACTGCTTTCTGTACATATGCTACCAGTCAGCCCTTTCGAATAGGTGCACCCCGCTCTTGCCTCACCACAAGTCTCCAGCGAGATGTCCGCCTCACACCTATCTGCATTTTTAAGCCCAGCTGCCTTCGTGATCTCGGCACCTATGCCCGCGACAGAAAACAATGGAGTAACATCTGCTCAGCCATTTAGTCTAGTACTGCTCTTCTTAAATTTGACCTTTATTACAAGACTCTTCTTTTCTTTTTCATTTCGTTCCCCCACTCTCACACACACATGCTCACGGTTAATTCTGCCGTCGTGAATCCCTTTCGGGACGGATACGAGAATAATAATAATAATAATAATAAGTCAGCAGATATTGATGTGCAGACTGTGTGGTGAACATTTGTACACGAGTAGAGAGAGCCCAAATGACCCACCAACCAATACACCCGAGAAAAGAACTGCCAATCGGTTCAATCAGGGTTGTATCATGTGATTTTTGAGGCGGTTGGTGTGCAATTTTTAGGATATCAAGAATACTCGAATACTCGAATATTCGATCGGAGAAATTCAGAGTACTCGAACTCGGGATCTCAGTGCCAACTTTCACCCCTAGCTTTAAGACATATCAAGGGTGCAGACCCGGCATAATGGAAATTAATAGTGTTATGTCACCTACAACATCGTCCTGGCCAAGACGTTGGTATGTTGATCTGTGCAAGTCCTGGTTGTCTATGTGATCCTCTACCACGTATTCCCTGGGTTCAGCTTCCCTGGCTTGGTGCCTGTAGCCATGGCAATAGCCAATAGGAAAACATCACGACACGGCCAATCACATACAATGTTTACGTAATCAAGAAGTGTGCGTGCTCCACTGCTCGATGCCCGTATAGGGCAGAGCCTTCCACACACACGAGGGAGAGAGAGAGAGAGGGGGAGGGGGGGGGGGGGAGAGAGAGAGCTGTGTAGCGACTCCGAGTTTCAGTTGCCCGATGATCGTGACTTAACGTGAAACTCGGAGTCGCAACACAGCTCTCTCTCTCTCTCTCTCTCTCTCTCTCTCTCTCTCTCTCTCTCTCTCTCTCTCTCTCTCTCTCTCTCACCAAAGTGGTCCAAAACCAAAAGCAACACTCGCTGCACCCATGTATGGGTAGATAGTACTGATAATGGGTAGATCAGTATATCATGATTGTAGCATAGTAATACTCGTGGGTCATCACCATCCGTCATCCATGGCCTGGGCCATATTGTGTATGATACACTATCATACAGTGGGTGAACAGCATAACCTCCTCAGCAGTAGGCAGCGTTGGTGGCCAACCGGACTGGTTCCGTCGGGCTTGTGCAATACAACTCCTTACTGCAGCCACCGGACTGGTTCCGTCGGGCCTGTGCAATACAACTCCTTACTGCAGCCACCGGACTGGTTCCGTCGGGCCTGTGCAATACAACTCCTTACTGCAGCCACCGGACTGGTTCCGTCGGGCCTGTGCAATACAACTCCTTACTGCAGCCACCGGACTGGTTCCGTCGGGCCTGTGCAATACAACTCCTTACTGCAGCCGCTGAATGACTACATACATGTACTTAGTTGTCTGATGATTGCCTTAGCATTTAGCTACGTGTATGAAACGCAGCGTTACAACGTTTGTATATATAATTGGTGGAACCATTCTTTTTTACCTTTGTGTACGTGTACTGATGTAGACCCATGTCAGCATTCACACAGTGTACACTTACTGCTATAAATATTCATGTCGCAATGAATAATTGTATAGGTAAAACCATGACAACAGTGACCATGGTGACCAAGCCTACACGTGCATGTGCGAGCTTGCAAGTAATTACTAAATTAGTTGCATGGCATAATTATACAAATTACGTACCACCCGGTTACGGCCGTTCTCTGCAGAGTGTAGTCTTGGTGTTCGGAACGCAGAAGCAGCGTGCCCTTGCGCTCGGGAAACGACGGGATTGGTCTGCTGGACGACATGGCCGCCGCCGCTCTCGGCACTTCGGGTATTGTCGCCTACAGGAAGTTAGGCCCACCCTAACCCTCTCCTTTCACCACCCGATGAACAGGCCGCAAGTTGTCTGAACTCCAGTGGTCGCTGCCTAGTAACGTTAGTACGGTATCTTTGCCAAAAAGGGTTGCAACGCTGGCCCGGCCGCAGCAGACTCTACGAGCACATCAGTACGTACGTGTAAGCAATTATTTAGCCACCGTGTGTTTGCCTTGTTTCACAGAACTCCTTGATAGACCTTGGCCCAAGACTGCGAATAATTTTTGGAAATCTACAAGTCAATAGGCTACAAATCAAATGACTGACAAAACAACAGGCCTCACCCCTCACGGCCTCAGCCATGCAAAGAATAAAGAGTACGGACATGTACGTGTAGATCTACAGTGTAGTGAGTCTAAACTCAGTCAGCCTGATCTGTGATCATAATCAGACATCGTCCCAGCGACATGATTGATTGTCATGTCGCTGAGTGAACGTGACTCAGTGAGGCTTTTTACAGTGAGTCTGACATTGTGACAGTGAACATGGTGAATGAGTCGGTGTAGCTATGCCAGCACTAGCCAGGCAGGTATCGGTAACCATGGTAATAGCATCTAGCTTGCTTTGTCTGTGACCATGGTAACTACATGTACATGTATGACTGCGCTGTATGACCATGATGACTATTGAAATGAGTATGGCTCGTAAGAGACTATGTCTGACTGAATAGTGCTAGTAGTAGTAGTCATGTAGTCTAGTCTAGCAAGTAGCATTGTCCTTGCCCCTCCTCTCCCCCCCCCCCCCCCCCATGTAACCGCGCTCAACACCTGCTATTGAAGGACCATACATACCTGTATCTGTACATGTACATGTAGCGCTTCTTGTCGATTTGGAATAATATTTTAGCAGCCACTATGGGACATCTCCCAAAAGTTCAGCGTTTGCTTGTGGATTTGGTATTCCTCTTGCTTTAGTGCTTAGTATTGTCGTGTACTTCCACAAAGCTCCCAGTCCACATCATGACAATGGTCTGAGTCCTTTTTTTCATAGGTGACCAGTCGGTACAGCCTCTTGTACGGGCAAGAACAATGTAGTACAGCTAGCGTGTGTTGAAGAAGAAAATAAGCGGAAACGTACTATGCTGTGAAACACGCATGCGGCATGATTAGGGCAAATGACAGCTGAAAAGGTTGAAAAAGGAAAGAAAACAAACACACACACAAACACACACACACAAACACACACACACACACACACACACACACACACACACACACACAACAACAACAACAAGTTGTGCCATACGCATGAATATTAGCGGCCAACACCAAGGCCGACACCATCGCAAATTGCCAGCCCACCGGGACGACGACGCGTACCCCGGAGACCTTTATTCATGACGATTATCTGTTCTTTTGGTCTTTTTGGTAAAACATAAAAAAGCATAATTGGCTGTTTTCTCGAGCATCCTGCGAGCATCCGGTAGAACTTAATTTTCCGAGCATAATCCGCTTACCCTTCCACCATGGCAGAATCCGCTTACCCTTATCCTTATGCCGGATACCGCCAGCCATGCATCGACCAGGCGCCAGGCGCGAACTGATGGTGGTGGTGGTGAGAAGGAGCGCTCTGTGCCAGAACTTTGCAGCCTAGAGAGCGTGTGAGGGCAGGCGTGTGTTTACCGCCATATTGCCAGGTGTGTCTTTACCCTTATCCACCATGGCTTAATCCGCTTACCCTTATCCACCATGGCTTAAGCCGCCCATGGTCTTATCCACCATGGTCTTATCCACCATGGTCTTATCCACCATGGTCTTATCCACCATGGTCTTATCCACCATGGGGGGATATGGCTTGTTTGCCTGTAAAAGAGGCTTTACTGTAAATATACAAATTTTCGGCAGCTATTTAATTTCGGCTATATTCGGCACCGACCCAAAACGCCTAAATTAAAACGCCGATGAAAATTTTCACAGCATCTGTCGCATCTGTCGCAGGGTAGCGCCTCTACCCCACGCCGAAAATAAATCGCCGCCGAAATGACAAAATTCGTGAAGTGCCGAAATTTTGCAGCGCCGAAATTTTGTATATTTACAGTATCGCGTAAACTCCTGCTAATGTAAACCACCCAATTTCCGCCTCACTGAATTTTCCCGATCTCTCAGAACCAGCGAGTTTGCGATGGCTTATTTGCGGCGGAGCACTGTGGCCACACGTACACATACATGTGTGATGATGATGATTACACACACACTCACTGGTGTAGGTTGATTTCACCGTGGCATGATTACATGGTTACAAGTAATATTCACGTTATGCTCCACCCCCTTTGGCAGAATTGCATGCAAGCATGAAGTCCCGAAGAATCATGTGAGCCTTCCCCGTAGCAATGGCTCTGATCTGAGCCCAGCTTTCCTTTGCTCTGGTGAAGGCGGCTGTGGCATGCCTTCTTGGGCATCGTCATACGTCGAACAGATATTATTGTAAGTTGTAGTATTTCTGTGGTATAGCCGCGGGACTGAAGGATAGGAAACGTGTTTCACAGATTTGTATACATGTACAGTGTGTGTGGTATATTCCCATTCCGGTTTTGCTTTAGTGTAGCCCTGAGGACTGAGGTTGATTCGCTTTTAAACTATTTTCTACCCTTCCTCTCTCCGTATTTCTGCCCCCCCCCCTCTCTCTCTCTCTCTCTCATTCCCTCTGTCGTCCTCACATTTATCAAAAGGAGGGGAAACCGTCTGTTTATGGTGCGACGTTAAATAAACTTCTACAACAACAACAGGCTTCGCAGCTAGTGTGGTTACTAGTATCAAGAATCCATAAACGTGTATGCACTCTCGCTAGTAGTATGTACTCGATCTGCCGCTGTTAGCTAGATTGTAGATTGATCCGTTTGAACATTACTTTATTCGTAGCATTGCTAAATTTATCCATGTTAATCATGTCGTTTTCCCTCTCCCAAATCTGACGGACCTTTCCCCTCAAGTTTCAACCGGCCCTAGGACAACAAGAAGCTCTTTTAATGCTGCTATTGCAATATCTAAATTCCGGACGACTGACGGTGTCCTTTTCAAATCGTGCTGCACTGTTCTTTAATTCTTTGCCTGTGGAGTGGTGCACCCAGCACCGCACTACATTTGCTAAGCACCTTCAGACCATGCTAAGAGACGCAGCGTCTTTTCAGAAGTATTTTGATCTTCTTTTCAGCAAACGCCCTCATTGATCTGCACCGCCTGTATTGTATAACTGTGTTTACTGCGTTCCTAGTTTACTTTAAATTCGTTTTTAAAAACATCTCTTTATTTCTTGCCTTATCCCATTAGGGATAAGGGGTTTATCGGGTGTTAGCGGCCGTCGTGAGTTCCCTTCGGGAACGGATACGATAATTTACTTTTTTACTTTTTTATCCCATTATGACCATGCTTAAAGACGCAGCGTCTTTTCAGAAGTATTTTGATCTTCTTTTCTGCAAACGGCCTCATTGATCTGCATCGCTTGTATTGTATACCTGTGTTTACTGTTTACTGCTTGCTGCTGCTTTATTGTTCCAAGTATCATCCTGTTATCCTGTTTTGAGTTGTTTTGCTTCTCTCTTTTTCTTTCCCTACTAGTTGCTGTTACACTCACAGATCCTTATGCACAGATATACAGCATTCCCTCACTAGTGGGACCATTGTTATTAGGCTAGGGTCTGTTTTGGACTTCCCACTCTAAATAAAGAATACAAACAACAAACAAACAAGTATCAGTTTAGTTTAGATTAAACATCTCTTATTATTATTTTTCTCACCCCACACCCCTCTACTCTGTTATCGGCCCTCTTAAGAGTTGTGTTCATCACTGTTGAGGCTTCCGATGGAAAATAAAAGAATACTACTACTACTACCGGTACTATCTAAACAGATGCGTACATGTACAAGTTAGTGTACAGATTGTCATACGGTGCAGATAAGGACCAACACAACATATGTACGGTGTACAAATATGCTACACATTTCGGAAATTATATGCGTGTGTACCATGGTGTACGTGTGTGCACATGTGGCTTAGGCATTGGCGGATAATGCTCGAAAAGGTGGCAGATTCTGCTCGAAAAGCAGTGAAATTGGCAGAACCATACAAACCTTATGGCGGGCAATTCCTCGAATTCTGCTCCATTTCTTTATCCACATACAGACAACACACTGTACATGAAACCAGAGAAAGTACCGAATTCTGCCGGCATTATCCGCATATGCCTAGTCACTAGTGTGGCTCGATCGCTCCCTGGCCTACCGGCCTGGGCATGGGATGTATACCAGTAATAGTATTCGAGTCCTTGCATTACTTGCCAGTCCTTGGACATCAGTCATGAAGACTTAGATAGATTGTAGATAGACCAACGCATATGGCCGATTGGTTTGCAGGCTTGCCTGCGAATCATGAGGTCCCGAGTTCGAGACCCGCGCTGGTAGCAGGGAGCGTGTAAAGACTTTTTACGTGAGTAAAGACTTTTTATGTGTGGTGAACTGCGCCGACACCGGTGCACCCACGGTCAACTGGGTACTCACAGCTCGGAGTGAGGGTAACAAGGATGCAGTTTACAGGGTTATGGGCCGTTACACGCCCGATTGGTTGAGAGACTCACCTACTCTCCCCTGACTCACTTGTGAGGTCTGCATTCGCCACTAAGGTGTGCAAGGCATAGGCATAGTGGTGGCCTGCGGAAGCGAAGGCTAGTTTGTGTGTTTCTGAACATTCAAGCGATGCCAACGCGAATCCCGCGAATTATTATTATTATTAGATAGATCATGACTGTACTGACTACTGTTGTCATGTACCGGTAGAGCCCTCCACAGACCGGTACAGCCACCCGGGCCATAGCCTAGCCTAGGCATAGGCCCATACCCATGCATGGTCCACGATCAGGCTTCAGGGGTGGATCAGGCCTTCAGCCTTCAGGGATACGGATATCGGGAGTGGAGCTGGAGTGGCCTCCCTCTCCACGCACGATACATAAGTAATAATATTATTAGTTATAGTTATACCATGATGTGGGGACTGCAGTGCCCTATCAAAAATTTAATAATGAGGCCAAACTAAAGAAGGTGTGTGGTTCGACTCACCCGACCGACCGTACAATTTCAGCCCGACCGTAACTTTTTTTCGGCGGGCTATCGTGTGACTGACGTACGTGGACTGAACACGTCCACGTCTACGTGCTGTGCGGCGTGAGTCTGCGGACGCAGGCGGCTCCTTTTGGACTTGACTTGTAGTTGTACTGCAGTGCAGTGCAGTGAGTGGTACGACTGCTGCCTTGTGCTGGTAGTAGAGTCTACTCGATACGCGTATACAGTGTATTTACATGTACTAAAAATATATATTAAAAAAAAAAAATCCGCCCGCCCGCCCGTAAAAAAAATGTCCATGTTAGTCGAACCACACACCTTCTTTAGTTTGGCCTGATAACACATTTAGGGCCCCAATCGAATCAGGGATAGGAGCACTAGTGCCACTACTCCTTCGCAATGGTGTCCGTGTTACTCTTGGTGTTACATGCAGTCTAGTACTAGTGAGTCTACTATTAGTACAGATAAGAGTGGCGCGTCCAAGACTGTGACGTTCTTATTTTTTTCAGCAACCTGGCTGCGTTCTATAAATAATTATTTTAGTAAACACGTCCTCGTACTGGATTCATAATGAGTCTTTGACATTATGTATCCCAAAAGTTGCCGGAAAACCAACGCACACACCGCCGTTCCTAGGGTGTGGCGCGTTCTTCCGCGCGCGACTCTACTGAGTACTGTACGATCTTTGGCTTAGCAATTTCGCCAACGTAACACACAGTCATAATCGTAACAGTCAGATCAGCGAGTACAATCATGTACGAGTGGAATGTGCAGGAGAGTCTGGTACATGTATTGAGGTGGGCTGTGCTCGCCATGCATGGACGGACCAAGGCAAGAGAGCTACGTAGATCTACTGACTTTACAGCATGACAGACTACATACTTTGCAGCAAGGACCACAGACACTTTGAACACTGGAGTAGGCTGTCAACTACCACCTGCACTGCAAGGCTGTCTGTACATTAACGAGTCGTGTAAGTACCGTCATGTAACCCAAGAAATGGATGTACGAGAGTATAATTCTTCAACCTGTCCTTGCAGCTTGATCGACAGGTGGGCCAAAAAATAAAAAATAAACCCATCTACCACGTACAGTACTACAGTCATGCAGAAACTACTCTCGGAAAACACACCCTTGACAAATCAACCAAGCTAGCACCGATATCACCCATTACAGACTCAGCAGCCGCCTGGCCACAACTTCAAAATCGCTCCGCGTCCACGCAACATTCAAGAAACACAACACTGCGGGATAATTAATTTTTACATTTTAACTATCACTCAGTTGCACTCGACAGTATGAATCTCAAGCTCGAATGGAAGACGTTACAGATATAACAGACATAAAGCATGTGTTTCGTGAAGCTTCAAAAAGAATAAGGTTTGGATCTCTGGGTAGAAATGAGCGGCTAGGATCAGAGAGAGAATTACGAGCTTACAAGACAACTAGTTTTGAATCCTAGGCAAACAAAACATATTCCGAAAACTATGAACCAGCATAATTTTGCATCCTAATTTGATGAAGTCGCAGATGTTTTGTGAAAGAACAGTGGTCATGCATATTCGATCGCCTAAATATCTCCAGTCACTAATACAAGTTTATGTACTTAGGCTTTCTTGGCTGCCTTCTTCGCTGCGGGCTTCTTTGCAGCAGGTTTCTTTGCTGCGGGCTTCTTTGCTGCAGGCTTCTTTGTAGCGGGTTTCTTCGCTGCGGGCTTCTTCGTTGCAGGCTTCTTTGCTGCGGGCTTCTTCGCTGCGGGCTTCTTCTTGGGGGTGGTGGCCTTCGGCTTCTTCGCAGCGGGCTTCTTCTTGGGGGTGGTGGCCTTCTTAGCGCCGGTTTTCTTCGCTGCGGACTTCTTTGCAGCAGGCTTCTTTGCGGCTGGCTTCTTGACCTTCTTGGGCTTAGGCTTAGCCGCCTTAGCCGCCTCCTTGTTGATGGCAAAGCTGCCTGAAGCACCAGTTCCCTTCTTTTGATTGAGGATTTTTTTCTCGACGCCACGACGCAAGGCCATTTTGCACTGCGTGTTGACGGTGCTTGGTTCTTTGCCTGGGCATTTAGCACAGACGTACTTGACGATTTTTTGGCGAGAGGAACCTCCACGCTCCTTCAAAGCTACAATGGCCTCTTTAACGAGCTCCATGTAGGAGGGACCAGCGGGCTTGGTAGACTTCGCGGCTGCCTTCTTCGGCTTGGCGGGTGCGGCGGCGGGAGTAGACATGATGATCGGTGATACAGGCAAATAGGGAGACACTAAAAGGTATCGGATCAGACTAGCAAAATAACTTACACAAGTTCGAGATGAGCGGATACTGTATGTACGCAACTATTTGTACTCTTTTGAGTGCATGCACGCCTCACATGACAGCTACTCAACGAACAGCGCGCTCGGAGCAGATTCAGAATTACCGCCAAAGGTGACGACCTTGGAGAACACGGTGGTCACGAGGTTTCCAGGGAAACCAAGGAACGAAGAAGAAAGGCAATGGAGAAGTGAAGAATCTGTTAGATGCGTTGTCGGTCCTCTTGTTTCTTGCAGAAATGTTCCTTTAGTTCCTTGAATATCCCAGTAGTGTTATTTTGCGTGGAGAGGACAGTCTAGGCTACCCGTGGATGAAAATTTGGTGTGATTACGCCCCGGTAATGTAGAGTTATCAAGATGTAAAGTTGAATCGATGCCTTGTTTTCGTCATGGCGCTTGTGTCGTTGTTGACTTGGTCGTGGTGCACACGCATTGATACTACTTATAATTCAGGTAAGACTCCTTTGATAACTAGTAGGACACTTCTTCGTCCTCTTCGTGTTGTAAATTTGTCAAATTTGTCTTGTTCCATCATCTTGGAGAGGTATTTCCGTGCACTGTCGTCATCGTCTTTTCCAAATATCATTTTGTATGGCTGCCGAATCTTCTTCATTTCTTCCTTCAAGTACCCTCCAAATCCGCTTTCTATACGCCTACACTCACGTTGTCTTCCACTAATGACGATAGAACAGCAAGGAGTATGTAAAAGCTTCAGGCGGGCGAGAGAAGGGATCTTTGTTTGCTCTCGCTATTTGTATGATAAATTGATGTGATGACGTGTTGACTTGAAGATATTTCGGTGAGTTTGTTCTCTCTACCTCGGTATACCTCCTATGGCCTTCCCAGTCTATCAGAAGCTGAATCTGTGCTGTTGTGGGTTCGTGGTTATTGAGGTTAGGTCAACTTCCCTTTGGTTTTCGTTGTTTCTTGAAGGTCGTGCTTGAATTGCATTTACCACTACATGTGACGTTATGTGTCAGTATTGAAATTGTTTGAAAATTGATTTTCAAGTTGTTGATAGTAGCTGTGGATGTTGGAGGTCAGTTACTTCTACGGTACTGCTAGGATCGTTTTGTCTGTCCGCGAGACAAATTTCTTCGCCGTTGGTGTGGTCTGCGGGTGAATGACGCTGAAGTTTTTGGATCAGCCATACTGGTCATGACTGCAATTTGTGTGAATGGCACAATGTGCAAAATTTCCTTCAAGATCTTGTTTTTTGTTTTGTTTTGGCATTTGCTTTTTGAGGCCACCAGGATTCGGAGACCTGTTCCTGTTCAGAATGCGATTTCTGCTGTGTTGTCTTCTGTTGCTTGCCTGGTTTGTGTGCATCCATGCGTAGCTTTTCAGAGCGACAGGCGTGGGCTTTTTCCCCCACACCAGTGTCTTGTGTGTTTGTTTGGGAGTGGCTAGAAGGTATTTTAGTTTCTCTTTGGTGTGTGGGTGTGGGTGTGTGTGTGTATGTGTGTGTGCCTGTGCCTGTATGTGTGCCTGTGCCTGTATGTAGTGTGTCGTATCGAGTTTCTATGTCCACTAGGCCTAATGTCCACACGTATCGTGGCATGGTAACATGAAAAGGATCAGGAAATGGCATGCATCACAGTGGAAATGTATGTTCCTGTTAAGTCAAGTCTTGACCTGCAGCTGATGGTGCTCTCTTTTCTCTCCTTGTAGTGTATGTAACACTGTTGCTACTGTACACCTGGTACACGTCTCTGAGTTGTGATGTGTGCCCGTATCCAAACTGAGTTTTGTCTTGGCATTTGCCACCCAGACTTGCTGTTCACGTGTATTAATTCTGTTCTGCTGCAGTTGTAATTTTGTTCGTGTAGCAAGTGGCAGCTGTCAGCAATTATTTTAACTAGTCTTTAAAACGTCAACGTGCTGGGCTTTGATCTTTTCACGTTTATGCGTCATTTTTCTCGTACCCAGCAGGACGTCTCCCTTCAGAGAGAGAGAGAGAGAGAGAGAGAGAGAGAGAGAGAGAGAGAGAGAGAGAGAGAGAGAGAGAGAGAGAGTGTGTGTGTGTATGTTTGTAGAACATGCAGTCCATGTACACTTCGAAACCGCTTGCCTGCCGGTGTGTACGTGGTGTTCCAGTCAGCAGGCAGTGCTCCAATCCCTGTGTGCCGCAATGCAAGTTGTCTTTGCTCAGCATCCCATTATCGAAATGCTGGCCAAATCCGAGTTGCAGATGGACTATTCACTGTTTCTCATTCTGGAAGTAAGAGCGGAGTGAGGCGATTCATACCACGAACCATTCTGATCGTTGACGGTGAGTGCTATACATGTACTGAAGTACTGGCAATGTAGGCATGTGTTACTAGTAATTAGCCAGGTGAGTGGATTAGAAGGCATTTTGTGCACGAATCAGACGTAGTTCAGAACTGACAGAAGTACTCATACTGCTTTCTAGTAGATCACGTCAAGAATCCCGTTGTCCCACTAGGGCTGGGCACAGGCATACCTCTTGATATTTAAAACAAATTAAAAAATACTTCATCTCACACTACCCTGTTTATTCTCTCTCTCTCTCTCTCTCTCTCTCTCTCTCTCTCTCTCTCTCTCTCTCTCTCTCTCTCTCTCTCTCTCTCTCTCTCTCTCTCTCTTTTTTCCTGTCTGTCTGTCTCTCACTCGCTCGATCGCTCTCAGGCTGTGTTTACATGAGGCGTTTCAACCTGGGTCGAGTTTGAACCCGTCGTACACAGATTGACTGGCGCGTTTACATGACGCATTGCGCTTGACGCGGGTTGAAATTTCAACCCTTCCCTTGAGTGGGAGGGTTGAAATTGAGGAATCGTACTTCTGTCCGTATCTCGCGCCAGATTTACATGCCTCCCTCTCTTTTTCTCTCTGGGTTGCATAATATGACTATGTGATTGATGGCATTATTGATATTAGGGGTGCCAACGGGTAGTAGGGTGCCCATGCTACCCGTAATTAGAGCAGGTATTCGGGTAGCAGTTTGCTCCTGAGAACCTGATCGGGTAGTTGGAGTACCCTGTTTTCGCAACGGTGCATGTAAGAAGCATGGGTACGTGCTTACGGTACACTTTCTATGTAGCTCAAGTGCACACTCACTGTACAAACTATGTCAATGAATACCAGGTAGCGTACCCGTGCTACCCGGATAGAAATATCCAAACTCGCTACCCGACCAAACCCCTACCCGTTGTAGCCCTAATTGATATTGATATTGGTAATCCTCCGAAGTCCTAACATTGCTTTGGCCAGGCTCAATGAAACCTCGCCTCATCAGTGTCGCATGGGTCCCAGCTCTACCAATACCGCCGGTACAGATATAATCTAGCGTAGGATGCAGTGTTCCCTCAAAGATGCATTTACACCTCAAACATCAAACAGATTATGCAAAACATAATCAGGAAATGCCTACAGCCAGCGATGCACTAGCGACTTGCACTTGAATTGCCCTGTGTAAATGGCGTCAAGAGTGCATAATCCCCCGCGAGTGTGCAACTCCACGACGAGGGCTGTTCGGACAGAATTCCAAGTTGACGTCAATTTTATGATGCAATGCGCAGTGTACACGTACGTTTGTAACCGGACGTATTCTGGGCCTGCGGTGGACAAATCCGGTTTGCTCTTGTACAGGGAGCATAAGTTAGGCGTTGACACCCGTACAGACATCGTGCGGTAAATCATTCCTGCGAGGACCATTGCATCATAAAAATGACGTGCATTTTCGACTTGAAATTCTCTCAGGACAGCAGGGTATGCGGGAGTTGCACACTCTTGGAGGGAGGGGTATGCACTCTTGATAGCGTCCATAAGCGGTTCTGCTGACTCACCACCATGAAATGATTCGCATAACCTTGTACATAATTATATTGTAAATTGTTGTGCATGTACAGTACTGCTCAATGAAATCCAGTCGCGTCGTCACTCAAGTGCACGCCACGGGGCGTTGCACAGCCCTACACCTGTGGACACTGGGCTGCGAAATGGTGCAAGGCGCAGACTTGAGTGACGCGACTGGATTTCATAGAGCAGCACTGTACTCCAGTGGACTCCATGATGCCAGTGATCAACTAACTGATCATGGCATGAGTGCCCTACCTACACCCGGCAGGTGTACATCAGGGAGTGACTCCCTGATGTACATGATTGTACTTGCAGCATAATGATTGGTGGAGGCCCAGCAGGGAGTCGTGAAAGAGCTTTTCACGACTCCCTGCACTGGGGCCCTGGAGCGAGTTTGGCGTGAGACCTGAGTCCCGACTCATTGTAGGTCCTACACATACCGGCAATGATTATCGATTGTACAATATACAAATAATCTACGTGGAATGAATATAACTAAATGCGCACTCATATCACAACCATGGAGACGAATAATGTATTCCAGAACGTTTTCTTGTCACAATTATCAATGGAATTCGTGACTAAAGAGAATGATGAAACTACAATAGGATTTATACACTTGGAGTGAAACAGCGAGGATACAAGCATAGTAAGAAAAATAGCACAAACCTAGGAACAATTTGCACAGGTAATAAACTATAGGTGAGGTGAGAAATGATAGGAAATTCAGCAAGTGCAGTGTGACAATGGACATGCATGTGCAAGTGTGTGTCACGTGAGTGCGAATTTACTGAAATAGCGTAAGCGCGGTGACATTTTCTTTTTGTTTACAAAGATTTGGATCACGAAGTGTATAAATCCTATTGTAATTTCATCATTCTCTTTAGTCACGAATTCCATTGATAATTGTGCCAAATAATCTACGTGGAGATAAAAGTTTAATAATAGCTATGAAAAGTATGAATGCCGCAGACATCACCACGCAACATGACAATTTGTTCAAGATTTGGTGATTATTGTCTCCACGTCGCCTTTTTACAATTTACGTGGAGATAATAATTAATAAATTAATTAATTAATAAAGCTATGAATAGGATGAAGGCCGCAGACATCACGCAACTATGTTACTTGTTTGACATGTGTTACTGTGTATTTTATAACAAAACTATTATTGAAAACCCAGCGGAATCGATTTTCACTGATGATAGGAACGAGAAAATCGATTCTGGGTTTTCAATAATATTTTTGTTATAAAATACACAGTAATACATGTCAAACAAGTAACGTAGTTGCGTGATGTCTGCGGCCTTCATCCTATTCAATAACTTGAAATTATTACTCACTGTCCTAAGTCCCAACTGCCCTTGTCACAGGCATGTGGTCGGTTTCCTCAGGTTCTCACCTGGCTCCTTGTTGTAATACCAAGAGTGGGGGGGGGGGGGGGGGGTATACTCCCGGTAATGATTATGATTTTATGTAGATCTACTACGTGTAGTAATAGTACTACTGATACCCCCCGGTCCTACGCTGACTGACTGACTGACTGTACACAATGATTTGTATAGGGCTTGAAAGTGCTACGTCACAGCATAGCAACAATTTCAAAAATTCAAAAACTGGATCCACTTGGATCCAGTTTTTGTATGGATCCAAGCACATTTCAAGCGGTCTTACCCACAGCATGGTGATGTAGCCAGTGAAACTGACTGATTTGGCTACTGGGGGCAGGGTTACAACTGGTGGCGAAATAAAAGTCACACCTGCATGCGACATGAGTGGGTTGCTATGCACCCACATACATAGGCAATAGCAAAGTCACACCTTAGTGGATCCAAAAGTAGAAATCTGATGTCAACTTACTACTCCCTGGCCGTTTTGACGTCATCACTTTCAAGCCCTATAATATTATCGATCGATAATGCTTGCATGACGTCGTGACGATATGACAATGCATGATGACGTGGTGGGCTCAGTCCCTGACTCCTAGGCCCTGGCCCTGCAATAGGGCTTGAAAGTGCTACGTCAAAGCATAGCAACAATTTCAAAAATTCAAAAATTGGATCCAGTTTTTGTATGGATCCAAGCACATTTCAAGCCGTCTTACTCACAGCAAGGTGATGTAACCAGTGAAACTGACTGATTTGGCTACTGGGGCCGGGGTTACAACTGGTGGCGAAGTAAAAGTCACCCCTGCATACGACACGAGTGGGTTGCTATGCACCCACATACTGAGGCAATACTGCCAATAGCAAAGTCACACCTTAGTGGATCCAAAATAGAAATCTGATGTCAACTTAGTACTCCCTGGCCGTTTTTGACGTCATCACTTTCAAGCCCTAGGCCCTGGGCTCAGCCTATGCCATGGCCATGCTGCATGCTAGCTGCTGACGTCGATGACGATGTACGTGAGTCATGACTACAGACCACAGACTATGTCAGTCCAGTCCAGACAGTCTACTTGTACCAGGGAGTCGTAAAAGCCCGGGAGAGGACACGGCACACATTCCCAGAAAACATCTTTGCCTCGCGCTGCCGGGGGAACGCTGCCAGGGAACGGTGTTGCGAGGCCAGGAAATTCGAAAATTGTGATGTCTTCTTGAAATACTAATTGGGACATTCTCCAATTTCTCTTAGAGCACGGAGACGATTGCTCCGTCGAGTCTTCTGATCTCTATTTTCATCCTCAATTCTTCCAGCTGCCTCACTCATTCTCTCTCAGTTTATCGAAGTTAATTTATTCTGAGGCGATGGAAATGGAAGATAAATCCCTAATTGTACTTCAATTTTATTTGAGTTGGGGTGAACGAAATGAGATTTGTGGAAAATGACGCCACTTCCCGTGTTAGCCGCTGGTCGTATCATACAGCCCATATTCCATTGCAGGTGATGGGCGAACGTTCGTGTTGAGATCCGCTGAGCTTCCTCGTACTCGTGGAGTTGAATTTGTGGCAGAAATTGCACTGAATTGCAGTCAAATGGTTGTGAATGAAACGAGATTTCTGGAAATGACGCCACTTCCCGTGTTAGCCGCTGGTCGTATCATACAGCCCATATTCCATTGCAGGTGATGGGCGAAAGTTCTTGTGGAGATCCGCTGAGCTTCCTCGTACTCGTGGAGTTATGAATTTGTGTCAGAAATTGCACTGAAATTGCAGTCGAGTGGACTTCTGTGCGTGTGTTGTGAGTGAATCGCAACGGCTCCCTTCCTTCAGCATCGTCAAAACGCAACATGGAGCATTATTACGCACTCGTTCCATGATTCATGATATTGCCTGGATTCTTTTAAAAACAATCAATGTGTGTTCCCTATCTATCTACATTGTACATGGTTGCAGGTCGTTATTTATAAATCTTGATAATTTCAACACTTTTCTACTCGTATACTGAGTAGACCCGGGTGCTCGAATCAGAAACGATTTGACAGGTGTGCAATTTCTCATCTGTAAATCTCAACAATGTCAGAATATATACTTTTGGAGAGGCGATGGAACAAGGAAGAGAGTCTGGCTTGACCCACCTAGCAGGAATTCAGAACCTGGGTGCGCTACAACACAAGCTGCAGCACGCAGCAAAATAGTCGTATTTCCTTCGGATTTTTTACTTGAAAATTGGGTGCTCGAATCAGAAACAGCAAACTCGTCAGGTCGTCTCCGATTCAAGCACACGGGTCTACCATCGTCTACGCTTGGTATGGCAGTTGAGGGCAGGGAGTAGTAACTTACTACTTCGTTTTTGAGAGCAAGATGGTCAGTGGAGCCGCAGATTCAGCAGGTCTTTGGCAGCACCCTACAGGAGACCCATATCCTCGAATCAAGGACCCAACAAAAAGTGGGTCGTGAGTATTTCAAAAACAGTTTACCGGGCAGAGCTGAAATTTGGCATACCGTTAGCGGGCCGTATGTTGATGGTATTTGTGAAAACTAAACGAAATCGGAATAAGTTTAGGTACAATTTCAGGCTGTTTCTGTTTTGGTACCCCGTCTCTCATTCGAGCACCCGGGTCTACGCGGTGACTTTAGCCGTTTAGGAAACGGAAGGCTCAGCCTCTAGGTTGGCCAGAAAGGTTTTCAGTGAATCTAACCGAAGTCTTGGCGAGTGTACAAAAGGTAAACCTATCATTATTATTTTGTACTTCATAACGGAATTGTGCACAAAAATGCGCACACACGCACGCACGCGCGCACACACACACACACACACACAAACACTGTACAAACACACACAAACTTGACAAAGTACAAGCACATGTGCACATACACACGCCTCCCCCCCCCCACACACACACACACACTCAACTCCCCACCCCCTGTACCATGTGTACTGTACTACTGAGTCTGGCAGACACACAATCATGTTTATGCTTCGCCACCACTCACCAGTTTCGGATCAACAACGAGTTGTAAAATATTGGTATTTTAGGACTCCCTGCCCTGAAGACGAGCACTGCGCCGTGGATCGAGCAGATCCGGCCGCGCCGGCCTAGCGTGCTTCACTTTCTGGCCGAGGCAAACATCGTCCGCGTGCGCGCATCCCGTGTCCTCTCCCGGGCTTTTACGACTCCCTGACTTGTAGTAGTACTAAGTCTTGTCGTGTGTTAGTTTTTCTCCTATTGACGCACTGCGCTTGCTCAGATAATGCTCATTGTGTTAGGTGCCGTGGCCCGTGTGGCTAGGTCGGCTGTGCTTAGTGCTAGATGCATCGATGGCTGTCTGATCTGCAGTCTTACAGACTACACTACACTAGTCTACAGTAGTACAGACGAGTACAGTCAGTATGTCGCTACAAGTACAAGTACAAGTACAAGTCATGCCTTTCCTGCTCGCTTTCTGATGACATAATGAGTTCGAGTCCTTGACTCCTCAGTTCAACTCCTTGTCCTTGAAAAAGTTGAATGGCTTGATCTCCTCAACGACATACATGTACAATGTCTAATGGCTATAAAGTATAAACGATTATTGCGAGGCGTTGTGCGTAGGTCTACTCATTTCCTTGTGGGTCTGATGTCAACCTCTAGCGATAGTCAGCTTGAAGTAATTTTCGTTACCCACCTAATCGCTTTGTGCGATTCTGCATACTATTACTAGTACAATTATTACTGTTTAGCGAAAGTGCAGCAGCATAATGAATGGCGTTGTTTTCGTGCCGGCTCATCCTAGCGAGCATCGTGAACATTGCTGCAATCTCATCGTCTCTGCGCTGCTGCTGCCATTGGAAATCATGACCATCAACGTGGGTTGATAGAGTTTACTGGAGGAGGCGAGCTCATCGCCAGTATAGCAATCTTCATTCTACCAGAGAACAACGACAGTCGTATTTCTCAAGCTAACGAACTCTGGCTGTGGCGTTTGTGGACGAGCTCCGTTACGTAGCGAGCGCAACGATCGATGGTATTCTTCCTCGAATCGACAGCACGAGAGCGGAGAGGTCGACTGCACGCGTATGGCCTGATTGGAGCAGAAGCACTTGAAGCAGCTGAAATCCAACCTGCGCGTGTGCGACGCCAGTTCCTACTCATCTGTCTGTAATCTGACAGCTTTTGGTATCGCCAGCACGCAGTTCTAGCAGTCGACGTGGGGAGAGTTTGTCATCTGCCACGTTCCTGCAGCAGAACCATACGAAATAAGCCAAGGTACTGTAGTCATGCAGTCCACTGTGGACTTCTTCATTTACATGTATAGTTATAGATTTTTGGTAACATTGCTTTGTTTGGAGGCCGCTGCACTGCTAACACGAGTACATGATAACCCCAAGAGTGTGCAACTCCTGATCTCTGATCTGTGGGTGCCGTGCATGGCGCGCTGGCTACTTTACATAGTGAAATGACAATCCAGCTGCATGGATTGGAGCTTTCCAACGGTTTTGCCTTAACGATTTCACGTGCAATACGGTAAGTTCAAAGGCAATGCCTGTGCGTGACGCATCACATACAAAACCATCCGAAGTCTCCGAGGAAAGCGGAATTGGAAGCGGGAAACCGTAGCAGATCAACAATGTGACGCAATGGCCCACAGCTCGTGGCTACGTAATGCAGGCAGCGCGCTGCGCCAAACCCCATATGCAGAGTTGCATACTCTTTGGGTTATGTACACTTGCTGATAATGATCATGATAGTAGTAGCGTAAGTTAGTTAAAACCCTGTAAATAAGTGTGGTGAACCTGCATGGAGAATGTGCCCCTTCCGGTTTTCCAGGCATGCTTCTACTCGCACTCAACTGGGAACGTGTGGCCTACTGTAAATATACGGGCTTTTACGGTATGACTCGCAGCAACTTCTGTTTTTGTAGGCGTGTATACGTGAAAGAATGCTTGGCGGAAATGCAATCTCCCCAGTGCCGGCTACAGCTCAGTTGGTGCTTGCATGGCGTCCGTCCTTGCATAGAAGTAGATAGGATTGTGTCATAGCTTCTGCTTGTGAATGTCTGTGTTTGTGCTCCAGGAGCAGTGGAGACCAACAAGCATCACCATGAAGCGCATGGCACAGAAAATGTCGCGCAAGAGTGACAAGAAGGAGAAGAAGAGAAAGCCCTCGTCGTCGTCGCTGTCCTCCGCGAGCCCATTCTCGTTGCCCAACTATGCTTGGCAAGGCGAGCAAACATCCATTCTGGACGGCGCTTACGCGAAGCACCTGCCAACGAGTGGTGGCAGTTCTGCTGCCGGTGAGGACAAGTCGTCATCGTCACGTGAACGTCGCTATGGTCGGCAGAGAGCCCTGCCGTCAGCGGACAACATGCTGATGGGCGACCTTGTGAGTACTAGTAGCAGTAATGCTGCCGCGGAGCAAAGTGCCAGCGCCAAGGCGACGCCGCTTGCAGCCAAGAAGAACGACGGCGTACAGCAGCAACCTATGCAGCCAGTGCAGAAGCCGGACACAGTGGAGACCAGTGTACCGGCACCTCGGCACGACGTGCACATCGCTTCGACCGCTGCCTCTGGCACTGTTGCCGCCGCTACTGGTCTTGTCGAGCCTTGTTCACGACCCACCGATGTCTCTGCAGGCAAAGTCGCCTCCCTGGACTATGACGATTGTACTCCCACAGTATCGGCCAGTGATGACCGTACTCCCACAGTTGCAACCAGCCATTCCAGTGATCGGCTTCCTTGCATTAGTGTGACTGATATGCCTCGCCAGCAACTTGCACCGGTAGTTGTGCCTGCAGCCATCGAACAGCCTAACTATCAGACCGTGGAGAAAGGTGCTCGGCGCGGTTCAGGCTCCACCAGCGGTTCTGTCAGTGGTCGTCGCGGTTCTAGCTCCACCAGCGCTTCTGTCAGTAGGCCCTGCTCGGTTCAGAGCCTGCCCGATCCGGACTCTAGCTTGGCAACGGCGGACGATGGCAGTGAGACAGGCAGCATATTATCAGCCAGCACGGGCCGCAGCCAGGACATGGAGGTTGTGCACAGACTGTTGGAGAGAGTGTCGCAGCTAGAGCGGCGGAATCAGCAGCTTGCCTTCGAAGTTGATCAGCTAAACACTGACAAGAAGCTGGCCGAGGGCGTGTCGGCCATTGCTGACAAAGCGCTTCTTCAGTGGAAGACGTTGGAAGCCGAGACGAAAGAAGAAATCTCGGCGTTGAAGGAGAGAGTCTCAGTTAGCGATCTGCATGTCAGCTCACTGGAGAAGCGGAATGCTGACCTGACGGAACAGCTGACGAAATCTATCAACGGCAATGCATCGCTGAAGCAACGCCTGCAGGCTCTGGGCGAGACGGTTTCACGCTCTTCCTCGCCAGCATGGAACAATTCCCAATCCAGCAGTCCAGCATTACAGGTCACTAGTAGCAATGGTGAATGCGCTGTGGTAAGTCGGGTCGCAGCTGAGTTGGACGCTAAGTCAAAGGAGATAGCACAGCTGCAGGAGCAGCATTCTGAATTGCAACAAGTACTTGACAAGCAGCGCGAAGAGGACGGTGCACGGATTGCACAACTGGAGGAGGAGGTAAAGGACACGCAGACGGAGCGACTGCTTGCTGAACGCATGTACCAACGGCAACAGCAGCAAAACGAACAGCTGGTACGGGAGAAAGCCGCCCTTGTGACGGAGAGGGCATCACGCCAATCGTCCACAGCATCGCCAAATATCAATGCAAGAAATACAGCTCAAGTAAAACAACTTGAGTCATTAGTTCAGTTTGTTGGCTCGCAATTGCCATCAAAGTCTGCTAATGCTCGTCAATCAACACCTTCTGATTCGCCTGACCTCACTGCCATTCGTCAGCAAGTCGTGTTCGCGAAGCAACGTCTATTGAGTGCTGACAAGGCTGCCCAGTCTCTGGCCACAAGCGAGCAGCGGCTGGATACGGTGCGTTCGGAGCTGAAGGAAAGTCAACGTGCCAAGGACCAGTCTGACTTGCTACTGCAGACAGAACGGGCGAAATTTGAGACCTCGCTGGCATCGAAGTCTGAAGAATTGCTTGAAGTAGAATCTAGATTAGCCGACTTGCAGGCTGACAAGGAGAAGGCTGAAAGCCAAGTATTGAAGTTCGAAGCACAGCAAGGCTGTTTGCCAGACAGCCAGCAGGTACAAGAGACCAAGCAGCAGTTGCTGACCTTGCGTCAGGACAGAGCACAGCTCAGAGTTGAGCTCAGGCATTTGCAGAAACAGGAGAAAGGCCAGAAGGCCACCATAACCGAGCTGAACGCCAACAAGGAAGAGCTCTCCATGCTGTTGTCAGCCGCCAAAGAGGACCTGCAGGCAGTCAAAACTGCTCACGACGAGAAACTGCAGCTGCTGACTGAAAGCAAATCAGAGGAGATTAGTCTGCTATCGAATGCTCTTCAGAATGAACTGGTAGCATTGAGAGAGGAGAACACACAGCTAAACCAGGAACTTGCTGCCTTGAAGGCCAGTGAGCACGCTGCACAGCTGGAACTTAGCCGTCTGTTTGCCGACCACGATGCCCTTAAAGCATCCGGTCAGAGAGCGGCGACGGAATTGAGTGCAGCTCAATGCGAGATTGCTGATCTGCGCTCCAAGACGGCGTCCCTGAACGAGCAAGTACAGCTTGTGAATCTGCACAACGCCTCGCTGAAAGAGGAGCTGGACAGTGCCACGGCTACCTATCAGACTAGCAGTATCGATGAGATTCTGCAGGCAGAGAGAGATAAGCTGCAAGAGACACTGCACTCGGTGAAGGAGCAGCTCAGTGACCGTGGTACCATGGTGCGAGAGCTCAAACAGCAGAACGAACAGCTCTACGACAAGTATCAACAGGAGATGAAGGTAGGGCGGTACAGGCGGGTTACATTCTCCAGTGTCCCCACTATTTCTACTTGCACCAGTATGATCAACACCATCTACCATGTTACCTGGTGGCATTATGGGCATGAAACTCAGAAATGCAACAAATTAACCTTGGTCAGCTGTTTTATTTATTGTATTGTGTAATTTTCGTGTGACCTGGTCTATGATGGCCACAGTTTAACGTTTCACTTCTACATTTCCAACTATATCACCGTATGAATGTAGGTATGTATCAACACTCAGTGTACAGTGAAACCGGTCTAAGGCCACCCCTCAAGGGACGGGAAAAAGTGGTCGCCGTGGCCAGGTGGTCTTCTTATCCAGGTCCAGCGGGTCACGTGACCATATCCACATGTGATACATCATTTTGATCAGTGTATCACAGTGCACACACCTATGCTACTCTAGCACGACTCATGTGCCTGGGGTCCTCAGACTTGTCAAATGTCGTGCATGCACCATGGACATCTACACTTCCTGCACTGATGTGTAGATCTACCATGCATGGTGCACCAGGCAATGCATACATTTTCATGCACTAGCACTGTGCAACGTGGTCGCGGGTGGGTGGTCGTCGGTCGCGTTGAGCGAGTGGTCACCTTATCCAAGCTGTTTTGAATGTGAATGCATCCGTGACAAGGAAAAGTGGTCGCCATATCCGAGTGGTCGCCATTACAGGTTTTACTGTATGTCGATTTCAGCTTCCTTACCAGCTCTCTGCTCTGCTCATGTGGGGAAAGTAGAACTTGACGTTTTTCTTCTATGTGTTCCTAACTGTAGCGAGCCCGGGAACTGAGCGATGCCGTCGACTCTGCACGTAAACAGCTCAGCCACAAAGAGGTGGAGCTGCAGCACTCTCAGGACGAGCTCAGGGACATCAATGCAGCCATTGATGAGATGGAGCAACTGCCGCGTGCCAATCGGGCCCTGCAAGAGGAGATCCAGGCTCTGAGAAGTGAAAATAAGGTAAGCCAGCGCCAGCAAGCACTGCTCTATGTCACATGACATTGTGTTTAGGCTAGCAACACAGCTTGGAGACAGGAAAAAGGTTGGTTGCAACTCAGAGCTTCACTTGAGAAGAGAAATCGGCACCAATGTTGCTCTTCATGCACGGGTCTTGTGTTTTGTGCTAAGGTACTGAAAACCAGCCGCTTCAATGAGGAAGGATCACGGCCACTCGAGGGCAAAGAGCTGGACCAAGCCTGCCGCCAGATGGAATGGCGACTCATGCAACTGGAGCCCAAGCAGGAACAGTGGAGACACGACCGCGAGGAACTGGACCAGCTGCGACGTGTGAAGCAGCGACAAGAACTCCAGCTCGGTGAGGCCACCGAAGAAGTATCCATGCTGCGGCTGCATAATCAGCAGATCCGTCTACTGCAGGAGCAGTTCACGTCGAAGAGCAATGAAGTCAGCTACCAAGAGGAGGAGAATCGTCAGCTGCAGAGAGAGCTGCGGGAAGTGGAGCTCGAGGTGGCTGTCTGGAAAGAGAAGGCGAACCGCTCCATGCAGGAACGCGCCATGTTGATCGACCAGCAGCGCGAGCACACCCGTATTCAGCAGCACACCAGTGGTGCGGACAGTCACTATCGACACGTATGTACCAGTATTACTTTAGCCAGATGGGCACTGTATGCCCGTCAGTTTCACGGGATTGCATGCCCTGCCCATCACTTGCAAGCTACTTAGCTGCGAAATTCCAGACTAGCTCAGGCTATAGAAATTCCGTTGGAAAAAGCCTTGGTTCCGATTTCGCATCTGTGACGGGTTCCAACTTGACACCGCTAGTACCCTACCTAACTATCTACTTATTTGCTGCACAGGCTTACCGTGCTCACAAATGGAGCACTCATTTCCAGTTTGCACAAGTTGTTTTCATTTTCTTTTCACTACTACATGCACTCAGAAACTCGGTGGAAAGTAAATAGTAACAATTCTCCAGTGGATAGGTTTGTAACTCACTACATGGCTAACTAACCGTCTTCATCCCGGATTGGCTGAATAACGTTACGATAAGAATTACGTTAGCGCTATTCATGCGGACATCGTACCTTACCAGCTGATTATGTGTATTTTGGGCCGCCCGCCTTTCCCGATCATGGCGACATCTCGTTTCAGAGATTGACCTTTCATTCCTCGTTTTAAAAAAACTCCAATGTGTAATTTGTAAAGAGAAAAGGACCTATAAGTTACTAGTTATGACTAGCAGTCCACCAACCTTTCTCTTTACATATTACTCATGATTGGCTCAACATCCGAGTTTTAATGTGTAATTTGTTCAACTAAGCCCCCATACTACTGTACTGCCTTGCTCTGCCCATCACTGTCAGGTTCAAACACTACAGGAGAGGATTCTAACGCTGGAGGAGCAGAAGTCCAACCTGGCCTCGCGCGCCATGGACGGTGCACAGCGGCAGCAGCGACTGAGTTCGCAAGTGCAAAGTTTGGAGGCCGTCAAGCTAACTAACACGGTTCTAGAGGACAAGGTCATTGAGCTCAAGGTAGGCCGGCGGGATGGCCGTGTGTGTTGTATTCAAAGCTAGGCACTTCAGACTTTTTGTAAGCTGATTTTTCTTACCGTGGTATTTAAATACCACGGTAAGAAAAAAAATACTATTGCAAATATTTGCAATAGTATACAGCAGAACTTAGTATGTGCAATGTACTCTAATAGGACATGCTCTTGCTTAGTATGGCCACTGTCCGTAGCACGGGTGTATTGATCCGTACTAAAGTATAATATGTTAGGATTTAAAAAAAGTAGCTGGGATACTAAAGTACACTGCTACCCACAGCAGGGGTACGTCTTATTAGAGTTGCACTGTACGAGGTACAGTAAAACTTCTCTTATCCGGACATCCTGGGTCCAGATACGCTCTTGACCCAGGCACTTTGAAGCCAAGTAATACTTGTAGCCGTAATCATAAACATCTTGTCACTTTTGTGCCTGTGATCTGAAGTACTTCAAAGTAAAATTTACAAAAGATCACACTCCAACTAAGCTCCTGTGTATGCTTGTGAACGGTAGTAATCTTCCGGGTTCAGTGAGCCAAGCCGAACGTGACAGCAAGATGTATCCTATCCACCGCGATCAAAGCTTGTTTCTGAACTATGGGCGATTCTGAGATATGCACATCGGCTTCGGCCCGGATTAGAGAGGTTTGGTGTACATACTGGAAACTCATCAGGGCCGCCATGATCAATACGAAATGTGCAGCTGTCCAAGACCGATGTTCATTCTGCAGTATCCCTAGAGTATCCCTACATATTCCATTGGACTGACTCAAGGATGCTGCGTAACTAGAATTATGTTCTCTTGTGTTCGCAACTGTTTTCAGCGTGCTCTGGACGAAGCACAACAGCTGAACAAAACTCTTGGCAACGGCTCTCACGCAACGACTGACCTATCTCGGCACACAGTGGGATTAAATGGCCACGGTGGCGTGCCTGCTCGACGAAACGGCAACGTCAACGGTGGCAGTCCTGTGATTGTTCGGAGCAGTGATACTGATGACGAGGAGGACTGCAGTGAACCCATTCCGTCCGGGTATGAGCTGATGAACGACTTTACCAGGTAAGTAGTTATTTGTTCTTCTTGGCATCAACAAATTGTTTTAACCAGGGAGTTGACCCGTATCATTTTTATTCTAGGCTAGGAAATTTATTCCTCTGGCGATGCTTTCACTACATGAATTTCTCTACGGGATGTGTAGTGGCAGGGGACATGTTATGGATATACACTCAGACGTCTCTTATCCGGGCACCTTGGGACCGGGCACTGCCCGTATCTCAGATTTGCCCGTATCTCAGGATAACTCATCTACCATGTATCATTATCATTTTTGAAGAAGTTTTTTTGGTGCATACTGCACATGTTCAGGTTACAAAAATAATCCATGGATAAAATGTATGGATTACACAGGTTGGCAGTGACAAATAAGCACTTGTGCATTCGGAAAAAAAGTTCAACCCCCCAAATTCGAAGCATTTTTGCCATAGGAACTCAAGCTGAGGGTGGCCGGTAGAGAGACGTGCCCGTATCTGAGGCGTCCGGATAAGAGGCGTTTGAGTGTACCAACGCTAGGTGTATTCTCCCTACTTCGGAGTACATACGAGTATACCGTAAAGTATAGCGAGTAACTTCATTAGACATACTGGTATGTCTGATATATCTCAGGAATATCCTCTGTAAGTTTCAAGAAGACCAACTGCTTGTGACTTGGATGAAGAACTGCATGTAAATGGAGCTTCTTACTGTGTGTTGTATCCTTGTTCCCTGCAGCACTGATAGTTTGGACAGTGAGGCGGTGGTGTGTTGCAGAGAGCACACAGCAGGCAATCTGTCGGTAAGTGGGGTACTAGTACTGGTGAACACATTGATGGGCATTCCGGGATCTGATCCAGTGTACAAACGCCTGTGTGAACAGACAGCTGTGATGCGTTGACACTTGTACCAAGAGTACCTGAAGCCCAGAGCGTGTAGCTTCTGACGTTTTCTGTATTGCCGGTGTCTATCACGGCAGAATTCTGGGATTACATCATATTTGGTGCAGATGCGTGGCGGGGAAGTGGCGTAGTGCGTACAACTGAGCTGCAGTTGTGCAGAAAGAGACCTGCTTGAATCCTGCTTGTACGCACTACATCACTAAAATGATGTACCATAATAATTTTTTTTGTGATGATTCACAAAAATATTCACACGCGTAGTCTCGAGATCAATACCTTTCGTTTGAGGTCTGCCTCGCCCGGATCGGACAACTAATACTTGGCAATTTTTTTAGGGTTTTTCATGACGATGAATTGTGTAACGGACCCTAAAAAATGATGTCAATAACTTGAAATTCTCCTTGGACAGTACAGCATGTAGGAGTTGGATTGTTTTTGTTCTTTGACTCTCTATACACACTGTATAGCGCATTGAAGGCTAACCCGTTGTATAAGCTGACACATCAAGCCCAGGTTCTGTTTCCTTATTTCCTTATTGGAGAGGTGCACGTTATTTCCGACGTGACGCGCAATTTCACGTCAGATTTGGCACAAATCTCCAAATTTCGACGTGAGCTGCAGGTCATTCGCGTTGTTTTTCGATGCACGAGCCAAATAACGCGAGATGAACTTTCGTGTCACGTCAGAAATAATAAGCATCTTAACCTCTCTATTGGCGTGGTATCGTTCACTGCAGGAAGCGGCAGAGGAGACAGTTCGCAAATACTGGTTCAAGGTGACCGATCAAACCGGAGACATCAACACAACAGAATTGGGACAGCTGCTCTACATGTTGGCTGTGACCAGTGAGGATCTGCTACGGCGTGTTGTCAACTATGTTGCAAATAATGTAAGAACTATGTATTACATCATTGGCTGTTTGTCTGCATGCATTGTTGGTGGAAAGTATCATCTTAAGGTGGCAGACTGGTCGTAAAAGGTATATATTTAGTTTTCCGACCATATCTTAGTCAGTTTATAAGGGATTTACTTCAAATTTCGTACACACTCTCCTTGGAGACTACTGTCAATGAAAATAACATCAGTTAGCCAACAGCATATGGGAAGTTTGGCTTCAGGCCTTGCAAAGAGCAAAAAAGCGGTCCGATGAAAATCGGACATAAAACCGTGTGCATGATGGAGCATAGACAGTTGGAAAAGTCAGGGTGAATGGACTCTCCACACATCATATTCGCATGACACTAGAAACTGAACCTAAAAATGACAAGATTACATACATGGAAGTTCACGTTCAGCAACGAGAAGATGCATATGCAACCGCGCATAATGGATGCTCCAAGTTCAAGAAGCAAACTGTTTCTTGTGAATGATCCTGAAGTGCTCAATTTAGGTTCAAGTTGTACAGTGGAACATACTGAAAAGAAAATATATACATTATGCAACCATCTGAAGGACATCCTAGGCAGCATCATGCACCCCATTTTGCCGGTACCCTAAAAAACACTGAAAATTGGCACTCAAATACTACCTCAGAAAGCACCACGACCATATGTGACGCCTTCTCAACAGCTGTGTCCAGTAGACCCTTCCTGGTGGCTCTGCGGTGCTTTCGTGACTTCTTCTCAGTCTCAGGCTGAGCACTTTTTAGCTGAGTGATACAGGCGCCTGCGGTCCATTCTCTCCAAGCCATTGGTAGTGCAGTCGCCGACCTCACACTGTAGAATACGGAAGACTTCGGCCAGTGCCGTGGTGCCATGGCTGAAAGTTGCTACAGCCAAGTTTACTGCACTCTCAACTGTCTCTGGGCCGCAGAATGATTCTTTTGGGCACAACCGCCAGATTGCACCATTTAAAGACTCATTGGCATTTTGAGTAGCGCCACGCATGCAGTGAAGCAACAGCTGACTGTCCGTCAGACGAACATAAAAGGGGCTGCAGTTCTTCAAACACACACTGCGGTAGATGTGTTTTGTTCTTGTATGCTGCTACTTCTTCACCCTCCTCAGCCTCGTCCATAGCAGCCTGTGTTTTCTGATATCCACACCGGGAGTCCTTTCCTTCAGGACAATATTGATGTATGGGCATAGCATCCTACGATGCCTCGTGACAAATAGATGCACGGATGGCCCGAGCGGTGGCAGTCACATTGCCGGCATTCCTCCTCACAGCTATCCCGTAGTAATTTTGAAGACTATCGATCTTCTTGTCAGTCAGGCGACCCTTCCCACCGAGCGGTTTGCCATCGGCCAACTTCTTGCCACCGGATTTCTGCTTCAAGTCTCGTAAACCTTTACCCAGGCGTTTTTGCACATGTCCGATGCATTCGTCCTTGCTTACGGCGGTGTCACCATATGGACGTGCCTCAACAACATTCTTGTAGCCTTTGCTGTCACCATCTCCAATATAGCTTATATATCTCAAGTCATTCTTCTCCTCCGACCGGTTCCAGAGGGTGACCACAGCTGACGACTCCAGTGCTGGAGCTGATACGTCTGTGTTTATTTTGCAGTGGGCAGCATGACTAGCCTGCCATTCCTCATACTCAGCATCACTAACCAGTCCAGCAGCTTTTCGAGATGACCAACTGGAGCAGGTGGGGCAGAACTTGGCTAGGACCTCTACATCAATGACCTGGTGGCTGTCCCACACAATAACAGTCTGTACACCATACAGAGAACTGTGACCGCGACGCATCCAAGTGCCGTCAGTTGAAGCGGCAATGTCATGTGGCAAATCCTCGTTGGCGCGACTTGCAATGACTGCGTCAGTTGCTCTCTTCAACCTCTGTGCTCCGATCTCTTTTGCAGCCTTGCAGCTCGATGAATATTAAAAGTGGACTTTGACATTGGTGTTGGCATATCTAAAATGGACGATAGCATGCACAGTGCATTGTAGCTCCTGCCAATGATGTGCATCCCCAGCACTGCTCGCCTATTGACCTGGTTCATGTGAGTCTTGTGCACTTTTGTCTGTTTGGATAGGACTTTGCTGGTAGCATGACCACATGACAAGCAGGTAAGTTGTAACTCTGGTGCAAGGCCATACCTCGAGGGCCTCAAGAACTAGATCGCCCTCATTACACAGACGACATACAGCAGCTTCAGACAAAAGATCACGTAGAGCAGGTAGGTGAATAATTCTACTGCCTTCCAACGTACTCTCATCGTCGTCGTCCTCGTCACTATCTACACCATCATCAGAATTATCACTTCCACTGGAGTCTTCGTTGTCACCAAACGGAAGACCATGAATCTTGGAGAGCGAGGATGACGCTGAAAATTCAAAATTTTCAAAAATACCGTCATCGGGTTCAGCTGCCTGTTGGCACACTTCTGCCTCTGTGACCGTCTCTAAAAATTGATTCCCAGAGAATCTCCTCTTCTTCGGTCTAGAGCTGGGTCTAGATGCCTTTCTTTTGCCCATTTCGCTGACTACTTGACTACTATAGTCAAAAGTACACTGCCAGAATTGAAATTGTCAAAATTGTCCAAATATAATTTCTCAAATGCATGCCGTGGCTCCCTTGCGCAGTTGCAGTCATTTTGGTGAGTGCCACGTGTTCAACAGCGCTAGCGGCCATTTTCAGTACGTTTCCATGACGAACTCTCTCTGTTGCCAGGACAAGGCCAGCTTGATCCCAGCATCGAACTGTGCTGGAACAATGACAGGCTCAGTGTACGCACAGCGCAAATTTTTAAATATTTTTTGACATGCCATAATTTTGTGTCACGAATGAAAAAGCGCATTTATATGCGCTATATCTTAGGAACAAGACTATAGCTATGAAGCTCAAAGTTCACAGGATGAAACTTCAATCCATTACCTCTCTTTTGACACCACTCCCGACCTCTAACTCCAAAATTCATGATGCAATATTGTTTGTGTAAACGTGTGCGCGTCTGTACATGTCTGGTGATGTGTGTGCACGTCTGTGCGTGCGTGTGTACTTATTTGACAATGCCCAGGGCAACACGGCACTGCACTATCTGATCCTGCGTGGCCAGCTGCTTGCTGCTTGGCTGCTCCTACAGACGGGACAGTGTAAAGTGGATACTCGTAACAAGGTCAGCATAGTACTCACTGTCACATTATCATTGTACGGCATGATTAGGCTTTGTGTGCCAACCCTCCTACATTTTTTGCTCCAAGGTGGTCATGCACTTTGTGGCACTGCTCAGGGAACCTGGGGTCACAGCTCCGCACGCACGTGTGTGCGTGCGTGCGTGTGTGTGTGTGTGTGTGTGTGTGTGTGTGTGTGTGTCTCTCTCTCTATCTATCTATCTATCTATCTATCTATCTATCTATCTATCTCTCTGTTTCTCTCTCTCTCTCTCTCTCTCTCTCTCTCTCTCTCTCTCTCTCGCTCGCTCTCACTTGCTCTCTCTTGCGCTCGCTCTAGGCATTCTATGTGATATTGTGTTGCATCACCCACAGAATATAAATTGTATATATTATGTGTGTGCGTGTTGCTGTTGCTTTGTTCATGGCTGCACGTGTGTGTGTGTGTATGTGTGTGTGTGTGTGTGTGTGTGTGTATGTGTGTGTGTGTGTGTGTGTGTGTGTGTGTGTGTGTGTGTGTGTGTGTGTGTGTGTGTATGTGTGTGATGTGTTGTTGTTGTTGTGATGTGTGCAGTTTGGCTATACACCTTGCATGATGTTGTGCGGAGCACCACCGGGGGAGGTCGGCAGCAATCAGTTTGTCGTTAAGAAGCTGTTTGAGCTGGCCGATATCAACCTTCAAGCTGCGCAGGTACGTGGCCGAATTGTTTGCTTGCTTTCTACCATGGCACACAGTCATAGACTAGGTTATTGGTTTCTATAGTCATATCACTACAAGTACAAATTTATTTATTTATTCTTATTTTACTAGGGAATTCCCAACAGGCATCGACGCCTTTTACGGGGAATCCTACAAGGTCTAGTTTGATGGATGAGCGAAATTCAGCTGGTGAACTAGACAAATTACACAGGTCTTTACGTATGAAATGCGTATGTCCCAGACAGGCATTGGTAGTCAGAGAAAATGAACGTTGATGTGTGCATGCTAACTGCTAGCATGGAACTCTTGATCCAACAAGGACCTCATTACGTGCCGCTTAGCGGGGCTGGAACGTTTACATGGAGTTTGCCTTACTATCCTCACTCCAGCTAACCAAGCTCTCAGTGTAGCTCATACGAGAACCCTGTCAGGCAAGCAGGCTAAGAGTCACTATAATAAAACAGTCGATTCGGAATATACAAAGTTGGCATATATAGCGAGAGCCTGGTCGGTACTATGTTTAAAATGTACCTCGGACTGAGGTAGCTCATATAATATAATGAGCTACCTGAGCCCGATGTTCGCTAAATATAGTACTTGTAGCTGTGGCCCTAAGTCACGCGAGGACGGATTAAGTCGGTTTTTTGTGACGTTGACTTTGCACATGTGTGATGGTCAGAAGTGCGGATTCTACAAACATTGATATAAGACCTAGAAACTGGCACATATTTGATCCGGTATATGCCTTTGTTGACAATCACCCGTGTTTACCTGTGTCACAGTGTGTGTTGTACTTGATGCTGCAGAACATTGTATGACAAAATAAACTTTCTGTGGACTTCGAAATGCAATTGAGATGCAGCAATTAGTTTCGGCGATTGAACCACTGTGATAAACAAATCGATTTTATGATCTTTCAACCCCATCAAGGAGATTATGCAAAGCTATGGAAATGTCCGCAACGACTACGTGGCGGAAAGGACTTTTAAACAACACTGATGCCGCTCTGTAGCCATGTTGACTGCCTGTGGAGCAAAACAAAACTGAGCATGGATATTGTGATTCTGTCTACTGTGCTTTCTTGCCTGTCAGGATGGTCAGACTGCGCTGATGATGGCCGTGCACCGCTCCAATCGTGTCATGGTGGAGCTGCTGCTGAACACTGGACAGTGTCAAGTGAACTTGCAAGATATGGTATGTGACTATGTGTGCACTTGTGCGGGATTGCATGGCGGTGGCATTGATGATGCGTCGTATGCATACTAGTACCACCGGAACATGAATTTGATATGTTGCACAGTCTCCGGCGTGCAAGTAGGTGCCACCAGTGAGCGATGCCAGACATGCCATACTTTATCCTTCAGTAGAAGATGATTTTGTCTTGCAACAAGTAGGAGAGGGTGAATAATTCGTTGCAACTCCGAGTTTCACGCACGAGGCAATCATCAGGCAACAGATTTCATGAATTTGTCTGGTTGAGGCCCCGATCTTGCCATTAGCGTTAGCATCTGGTAGCTTAGTTTGAAGTGCCTTTGCCTGTGTGCCTTGACCGTATCTGTGTGTATCTTCAGGACGGGTCAACAGCGCTGATGTTTGCCAGTGAGTCTGGCGAGGAGGACATTGTGCGGCTGATCCTGGCACGAGAAGACTGCGATGTGAACATCAAGGATCATGTAAGCAAGCCATGGTGGATTACGCAATTTACGCCAGCCAAACCTTGCTGTGTATTGTATAACATGCTATTTTTTGTGTAACTTTGATTTCGGCAATTTCGGTAGAGAAACCGGGCACCTAAATTTAAATTACACCTAAAGGGCACTGGAGTATGCACTGTGTGAGAAGGGAACGCCGGTCACCTAGTTCTACATTACACCTGAAACCTGGTAGGTCTCTGACACCGAAATTTAAATGCACCGAAAACTATATGTTCTACAGTATTTTGATACGGGTAGTGTGACTCTTGAGCTGTAGAGATCAACTGAAATGCCTAGTGTAGCCCACAAGCATGTAGTGTCGAGTTTAGACTAATAGGGTCCTTCCAGCTTGATTCGGGGGACGCCAGTCATAATCAAGAAAATCCTTGCGTTTCAAACTCGTAGCCATTATCATGGGCTCTAGATTGTCATTGTAAGTATGCAGTGACTGGTGCGGTGTCACAAATACTAATGTGGCCAGCCTGACGCGAGATATTTATCATACATGTACAATGAAACCTGTCTAAGATGACCGCTCAAGGGACCTTCAAAACATGTGGTGTCTGTGACCAGGTGGTCTCTGTGACCAGGTGGTCTCTGTGACCAGGTGGTCTCTGTGACCAGGTGGTCTCTGTAACCAGGTGGTCTCTGTGACCAGGTAGTCTCCTTATCCAGTGCCATTTGACTGGAAATAGCATCCCTTGGTCCTGGCTGCAGTGGTCTTCTAGGACAGGTGGTCGCCTTATTCGAGTGGTCACTGCCTTGACAGGTTTTACTGTATTATGGTGGAGTTGGTGATGGTGCTATTTACATTGTTGCTGCTGCTGCTGCTGGTGCTGTTGCCGCTGCTGCTGCTGCTGCTGGTGCTGTTGCCGCTGCTGCTGCTGCTGCTGGTGGTGCTGTTGCCGCTGCTGCTGCTGCTGCTGGTGGTGCTGCTGCTGGTGGTGGTGCTGTTGCTGCTGCTGCTGCAGTTGCCGCAGCTGCTGCTGCGGCTGCTCAGTGCTGCTGCGGCTGCTGCTGCTGCTGCTGCTGTTACTACTGCTGTTTCTGCTGCTGCTGCTGCTGCTGTTGCTACTGCTGTTGCTGCTGCTGCTGCTGTTGCTACTGCTGCTGTTGCAGCTGCTGCTGCTGTTGCTGCTACTGGTTCTACTGCTGCTGTTGCTACTGCTGCTGCTGTTGCTGCTGGCAGTATTGATGGTGATGATGGCGGCCAGCCTCCCTTCAGTACAAGCCATGAGTTAGGTTATGTTCGGGTCATTTTTTGTTGCTGCATGTACTGCTTCTCGTGGTCATCTCGTGGCTTCGAAAATAGGTATGGATCATTCAGTTTTATTAATGCAGTGTGGCTCATTTCCCCTTGTCTGTTGGCTGCATGTCAGGACGAGAATACGGCACTTCAGATAGCCCTGGAGAAAACACGTCGTGGCGTGTCCGTTCTTCTCTACGCAGCTCTTGTCTACGGCAAGCACAAGGTATGTCCTTATTTGTTTATTGAAGTATTTATTTTATTTAACCTTTTGAGCACGACGCTACCTGAATGCCTCCCCACGGCAACACCTGTAAAAGTGGCGTTTTTCCTATGAAAGTACTACCTGTTCAAGGATCGATAACTTTACCTTCCCTTGGACGAATTCCACGATCTTGAGCTTCCTGGAAAGGTCTTGAGACGAGGAGCAAACTAGTTCCAAACTCAGCTCGGAGCGAAACTAAACGCCCATGCTACAGTCTGGCAAACTTCACCCACGCGCTCGACAGACTTGAGCACGGGCAAGAGACCAAATCCTCAGCTGCCATTTTGACCTCCTTGCTCGGATCGAGCTCAAATTTTTTTTGAGGACTCCCGAGATCCGCCACCATCATTTGAATCTAGTTTCCATGGCAGCAGGTAGTGCAAAAATGATCGAAAATGATCGAAAATGCAAAATACGCGTTCTGCAGATCGCGCAAAAAATTCTCTTTGAATTTGCCGTGTCGAGTCGCATATCTCAACAACCCGGGGTCGTATCGCTTTGGCGATTGTTTCTATCGCAAGCTGAGAGTTTTCTCTTCCAGATACATACTTCGATCGTGAGAATCGACCAAGAATTGACTGAGTTACGATAGTTTGAACGCACGCGATCCAGACAAATCGCGTATTTGCGCGATGTACACTCAGGACGTAATATTACGTCCTCCGTGGTGCAGTGGTATTCTGAATGACGTATTATTACGTCCTTCGTGCTGAACAGGTTAAGGATTCCCAAAGGCTATCAAAGGCTATCAAAGGCTATCAAAGGCTATCAAAGGCTATCAAAGGCTATCAAAGGCTATCAAAGGCTATCAAAGGCTATCAAAGGCTATCAAAGGCTATCAAAGGCTATCAAAGGCTATCAAAGGCTATCAAAGGCTATCAAAGGCTATCAAAGGCTATCAAAGGCTATCAAAGGCTATCAAAGGCTATCAAAGGCTATCAAAGGCTATCAAAGGCTATCAAAGGCTATCAAAGGCTATCAAAGGCTATCAAAGGCTATCAAAGGCTATCAAAGGCTATCAAAGGCTATCAAAGGCTATCAAAGGCTATCAAAGGCTATCAAAGGCTATCAAAGGCTATCAAAGGCTATCAAAGGCTATCAAAGGCTATCAAAGGCTATCAAAGGCTATCAAAGGCTATCAAAGGCTATCAAAGGCTATCAAAGGCTATCAAAGGCTATCAAAGGCTATCAAAGGCTATCAAAGGCTATCAAAGGCTATCAAAGGCTATCAAAGGCTATCAAAGGCTATCAAAGGCTATCAAAGGCTATCAAAGGCTATCAAAGGCTATCAAAGGCTATCAAAGGCTATCAAAGGCTATCAAAGGCTATCAAAGGCTATCAAAGGCTATCAAAGGCTATCAAAGGCTATCAAAGGCTATCAAAGGCTATCAAAGGCTATCAAAGGCTATCAAAGGCTATCAAAGGCTATCAAAGGCTATCAAAGGCTATCAAAGGCTATCAAAGGCTATCAAAGGCTATCAAAGGCTATCAAAGGCTATCAAAGGCTATCAAAGGCTATCAAAGGCTATCAAAGGCTATCAAAGGCTATCAAAGGCTATCAAAGGCTATCAAAGGCTATCAAAGGCTATCAAAGGCTATCAAAGGCTATCAAAGGCTATCAAAGGCTATCAAAGGCTATCAAAGGCTATCAAAGGCTATCAAAGGCTATCAAAGGCTATCAAAGGCTATCAAAGGCTATCAAAGGCTATCAAAGGCTATCAAAGGCTATCAAAGGCTATCAAAGGCTATCAAAGGCTATCAAAGGCTATCAAAGGCTATCAAAGGCTATCAAAGGCTATCAAAGGCTATCAAAGGCTATCAAAGGCTATCAAAGGCTATCAAAGGCTATCAAAGGCTATCAAAGGCTATCAAAGGCTATCAAAGGCTATCAAAGGCTATCAAAGGCTATCAAAGGCTATCAAAGGCTATCAAAGGCTATCAAAGGCTATCAAAGGCTATCAAAGGCTATCAAAGGCTATCAAAGGCTATCAAAGGCTATCAAAGGCTATCAAAGGCTATCAAAGGCTATCAAAGGCTATCAAAGGCTATCAAAGGCTATCAAAGGCTATCAAAGGCTATCAAAGGCTATCAAAGGCTATCAAAGGCTATCAAAGGCTATCAAAGGCTATCAAAGGCTATCAAAGGCTATCAAAGGCTATCAAAGGCTATCAAAGGCTATCAAAGGCTATCAAAGGCTATCAAAGGCTATCAAAGGCTATCAAAGGCTATCAAAGGCTATCAAAGGCTATCAAAGGCTATCAAAGGCTATCAAAGGCTATCAAAGGCTATCAAAGGCTATCAAAGGCTATCAAAGGCTATCAAAGGGGTCTCCAGTAAACGAAGTCCTGACAACCACCTACTACTTTTAATGGTAGCAGCAGGAGTAGTCAGCAGTCTCAGCAGGAGTAGTCAGCAGTCTGCGGTTATTTATTAACATGTGCATTCTGGTGTACGTGCTAAAGTGATTCTTGTTTTGTTGTGGTGTTTTCCACTGCGGTCAGCTGCGTCAACTAAACTGTGTCTGTCTGTCTGGTCGTGTGGCTTTGTGTTGCCTGCAGAACGATGTCCAGTCTGCCTGAGTTTACGCACGTCCACATCCCGCAAATAAAGTGTAAATATCCATACATAGCCATACCATAGTCATACATAGTCATACAGTCATAGTCATACCGGTATACTCGTGATAGTGAGACCTACTCACGCGTACTCACACATCACACATCAGTAGTCATCAATCCGTGGATCACACGTAGCACATACTTGTACATACTCATACAAAGTCATACATAGCCGTACATAGCCATACCAGTATATAATCATACATACTCACGATGGTGAGACATGCTCGCAGTGACACATATCCATACACACATTGGCTCAGGATCCGAGTTCCTACATGTTCATACTGGCCTATCATGAAGGGATGATCGCGAAATGTAAATAGTCACTAAATATTCGTACATATCACGTTGAGGACGAGGTGTCAGGTTCGTCGCTGACCACATGCTTCGGGAAGAGCGCCATGGACGTTTGATGTGAGCTATTCCCGTCTGAGACTATTGCAGAGTGTGACTTGATCTACCTTGTGCCGACGGTCTGTTGCAGTGTGGTGTGAGCCCATTTTTTCCAGTTTCTTTTCGATTTCCCCGGCTTTCTGGTCTCTTGGTGGCACTCACGGTGTTTATGTAAGATTGTTGCATTGTTCTTGACCGCAGCAGCACGTCCTGGTTCACTTGCTGGCGTGCACTCTATTGTGCTTTGCAGTGCATTGTGCAATTTTAATTTCTTCTGGTGTTAGCAGCTGGCTGCTATATCTCTTCTATCTGTTCTATCTGCTCTCTACGTGTAAATTTTGTGAATTCTATAATTACGGTGCACCTGATTTTGGCCGGGGGAACCATTTTAATTAAAAGCTATCCCAATCTTCCTATCAGTACTGATTTCTATCATCATTGCTTCAGACCCGTGATCAGTCTGTGATGCTGTCCACCCCGATGTGAGCTAATTTGATTATTACACTGGTTCTTATGAATTATTTTATAAGTAAAGACTTTGCTCCTTCCACTGCTCACGCAGTGCTCAATACCAACCGTTCTGACTGCCGGGGGGGGGGGGGGGGGGGGGTGTTGGAGTCTATAATTATGACGTCACTCTGTGTGATATTTCTCAGCAGGTAGTCACAGTAACTCAGTCAATGCTTACCTCCTTAATCTTGTCAATCTTGACTGTGTGAAGATGATCACAGCCATACGGTCACAGCCATGTTGCACTGGCTGATCCTGTTGATAATGATGCCTGGATTCACTGGGACAATGTGACCAGGGAGTCGTAAAATACCGGTATTTTACGACTCCCTGAATGTGACTTGATGTGTCCTGGTATGCCGGTGATGGTGGCTTCAGTCATGGCTGGCAAGGCTGTGGTTGCCTGTCCCTGAACCGTGTGAGCTGGGATAGTCAGTTTTGAACGCAATTGAAGGAACAGGGTTATTGGAGGAAAGGGACGTAGGCTCAGAAGGTGCACCATCATGTTCGTTGAGCTGTTACTGGATCTTCTTGAATTGTGTGACGGTTGGAAATAACTTGACTTTAGTGGTTTGTTTCATGCATGAAAGACATGCCAAGTGGAATAGGCTTCTGAAGTTCTGGTGGTTATGTGAACACACGATTGTATTGTTTATACCAGCCATGACCTGAACAATCCTGCAAACAGCAGAGGTGTTACCTCCCTCAAACTAGCCAACACCAGAGCTGTGAGAGCTGTGAGTGTGAGGGTTGTATTGTGTAGCTTCAAGTATTAGTTCAACCACTTTTCATCCCGACCTGTCACCAGCGTTCCGGATACCAGGCAGTTTACGAACGTACAGTCCAAAGTCTTTGGCATAGGCAAGTGATAGGTATCCAGGCCTCAGCGGTCTGTCCTACTCCTACTGAGTCCTAGCCTCCTTCACGCTGTCATTGTAATGCGCCTCCCTGGGCAGTTACAGCTCAGTCGCTACTTCTCACCAGGCCAGGGAGTACAATACCCCCTACTTCTCACGAACAGCAGTTCGGACATCCGCCGGCGGTGTTGTTGTGAGAGTGTGCATGTGTGAAGTGAACGGAACCGATAAACGTCCTGCCTCGTGCCTGCATGGATTCATACACGGATATTGTGAGTGTGGGGATTCATCGTACAGCGTCTGTCAGTCCTTCAATCGCTACAAAACTACAAAAGTTTGACTGGATGAGGAGTTTTTCACCCTGTTATTGAATTCAACGAGTGACGGAGATGTTACAACAGTTTCCGTAACAGGTCACCTATACTTGCTTGCTACGTCTTCTTCCTTCGCTGGAAACGCTTGGTGGTTGAAGCTCCCCAGGTCTCTCCCGTCTCCGCAGCTAGCGCTGTTCGGCACCGAGTGACGCAGCAGCGCAGC